ATGCCAGACCATATGCGCTAGTGTTCATTTCATGCCTATTTAGGGACAAATTATGATCAAGACTTTTAATCTGCTCTTTGAATCTCCTGCTTCACAATGTGATCTGAAAATGGTCTTGGAAGAATGACTAGAAACCACTAAGCACTGACATCTCCACAGCTCATAAATGGGTGAGGTTACTGAGTGCATGTGTTAAAAACCAGCCATTTGCACATTTTGCCAGATATAGAAACTGGGGATGAAGAGACTTAGACTAAAGCCATTATAAGTCAATTCTTTTACTTCAGAAACAGCATGAACCATTGTCACACCACAAGTCACAAGAGGCTTTCACTGAGTTAGGAGAAACAGGGAATTTCAAAATATGTCACCAAAGTAAAGAATATCTATATCCCCAATGATGATATTACATGCTGTTGTGTTCACTTCATCCTATTAGTATCAATAGAACTAAACCTATATAACATAAATCACTACATAATTCATAAAACATCTGTCCCTATTTTATATAACTTTTAAAATTTCCTTGCCATGTGCATTCAAGTTAAATAGGCTGGGCTTTAGCACAGCTGGTTAATCAGCAGCAGCAATAAGATCACACCAATCAAAAGGTTGGCAGTTCAAAGCCCAGGTCAGGGTGAGCCCCTGACCTTCAGCCCAGCTCACTGTTCACCTAAGCAGTTTGAAAACAGCTGTGAGCTGTGAGTAGAGAAATTGGCCACCCCTTAAGCGGGTAGGTATTTTACGACACCACAAAAAGGAAGTGCCAGAAAATACTGGTGATCAAATAATGGAGGAAGTCTGTGATCAAAGACTCTTTGTCAGAAAATGGAGTGACAACACTCCCCTGAGGCCAGAACTGAGCACAACCTCCAGGATACCAAAGTTGGGGGGAAATGCCTCTATCTGTTATCAGTCTTGTCTGTCTAACAGCATTGAATGTTTGCCAAGTATCTGTTATGTGATCCACCCTGAATCCCCTTTGAGGTGAGAAGGGCAGAATATAAATGCTGTAAATAAATAAATAAATACAAAAATGAAAGAACTGAAGCAGTAAAGCACCAAGAAGCCGCATGTCTTGTGAGCTTTCCATTTAGCAAAGATTATGATGTCAACTGTAACAATTATTGTGGATTGTTATATCCTCTACAACCCTGAAGTTTCCAGTAACAGTTGTAGTTTAAAGTGATTTGGAATGGCTTGCTCATGTGGTAAGCATTTCAGATCAATAACATTAACAAAAGACCTGCACATGGTAGACATGAAAATTACTGAAAATTGTTTTTTGATATGCATCAACATGGCTACCTTCATTTCTGAACTCTGCTTGGGGCTGAGACTACAGTAGCTGTCATGATTTACCTCTGTACAATCCATATAATGCTCTTGTGGTTAACAGCAGACATTATGGCATCAGGCTATTTATCAATCGGGTCTCTACCATGGCAAGGTAAAGATTGCCAACAGTGAGAGATACTACAGCTAGAGATCTATCATCAATATCTCATAGTTCAATAAAATGTATATTTTAATACAGGTTTGGAGGAAGACTTTCTTTTCCCCTGTTTAATAGATATCATAAGCACTAATTATTTCTTCAGAGAAATCTAAAACAAAACATGCAGTTTTGGTTTGTGTTGTGTATTTCTCCTTATATGTTGTTTTATATTATAATTTTCAATAAAGTTTAATTTTTAAAAATAAAATAAACATGCCGTTTGAAAACATGAAGGCACATGTGCCAGTTCTCAGAAGCAAACGTTTCAAAAATGTTTCCATCCCCCACCGGATTTTTTTCCTATTTACCAAGCCCTCAACATATACAAATCTTTCCAATGATTATATTTTTTTATTTTAGCTTAACATAATAAAGCACAGTACTGCCTGAAGATTGCGGTATGAACGCATAAATATTCGGCAATGTTCCAAAGAGTCTTCCTTGAATTGTTTGCTGGAATTTCAGTAAATCAAAACCACTTTTCTAAAAATGCAGAGGATATAAGAGTATTTCTTCCTTAAATAGAAATACAAGATTCGGCTTCATGTGGAAACTGGGTGTGTTTTTTTCCCAAAGCAAGACAGTGAATACTCTTCTTTGTGTGATGTGAAGGCCAGAAAAGAAGTGTGAGCCATTGGCAGCTTTCTCTCATAATGCTTTCAAGAACACATGAAACTGCCATTAGCAGATAAAATAACAAGGTGAGGCAGTATGTACAACTCTTGAGGCATGCCATGGCCTCTCTGAATTACTATTTTGAGACAGTGTATGTGAATAATAGCTGCTTTATAAAATACAAATTGCTTGGTCTGAGATGGAAGCTTCCATATACTCAGATTCAAAACCAAGTGCTCAGTCATCCAGTTTTAGGAGTCTTGGAACTTGTGAGTTGTGTTGATTGGATTGTGAAGCCTGGGATTTACAGGATGAGCTGATAAGCACAAGTGGAAAATGGAAGATAAGAAGATCACACCTGATCTACAGTCTTACATGATGGGCTTGGGAAGGCGGGGAGATCCTATCTGTTAGAGAATGAAGCACTCTTAGTTCCAAGCCACACTGAACTGTTTAAAAAGTACTTTGCAGCTCACACATTTCCTGTTTCATGTCAAAGTTTGCTTTGTCTCTGCCTTGACCATGACCCTTCCTTTCATTTTTATGGACTGTTTTGTTATCTCATTCGTTCTCAGCTTCACACTGACTGTATCACAGTGATGTTGGTTCAAGATAAGAAAGCTAGAGGGGAAGAGGAAATCATTCTACTTATTGTCTGGTTTAGGAATAACAATATTTGAAAGCAACAGTCATCTCTTTGGTATTATTGAGTTGCAGATGTCTTATGTCTTCAAACAAAATGCAGGTGTCAAAACAATATAAAATATGTTTCTGGGTTTCAGGAGTTTGTAGTGATTAGTAAAACAACTGTTAAATAAACTGGCCCTCCCATCTATGGGCTGGGGAAAAATCCCACCCTAAGGGCTGGAATTGACCTCCATAACCAATCCTAAAAACAAATATGAAATATGAACTTCATATTTCAGCCCACCAACAGTTTTTTTAAAGTTCAGATACAGGGCAGTGAGTGGAAAGGTGGTTAATGTTGTTCGTGCAACAGGGAGAGCAATTGCGGCTTGCAAAATTGATTATACTTGCAAGTGCTCAGCAATCAATTCTTTGATGCACCAAGGAACATTAGGTCACTCAGGTTGTTTGGCCAGATGCATTGTTCTGGTGCTACAGGCATTAGACAGAAAATCTTTTCTTTCCTCTCAAGAAAGTAAGCAGAGGCCAGTGTTATGAAATATGTTCACATATTAGTATGTAATATCTGAAGTTTAAAATATCTGAACTTTACGTAAGCAAGAAGCGAAGGCACTATCCTCAGGGGCTTTGAAGGAAGGGGTAGTGTTTGTTTTCTTGCGGCTTCTGGGGACTCACTCCTGACAGAACTGATGCCCTGACTCTGCAACGCAAGGTCAGCAACAACACCTTCTTGCCCCAGAGCAGTAGTTCTTAACCTGTGGGCCATGGGCCAAAGGATGAAAATCTGGTGCGCGAGCCTCTTTCCTCTTTATTATTTTATTTTATTTTATTTCTGCTCTTTTCATGCCACCTGCCACTCCTTCCCTGTCACTGACCATGGCATATGTTCTGTATCAGAAACTAGAGCTGATGTGGTCTATTCAATGCAATTTTCTGAATCAGCATCCCAAACCAAATCTAAACTTGACCAAAAACTGATTCGTAAGCCATTTGGTCCTAATGTTCAAGAATGGTCCCTGGTCAAAGTTGTCCCTGGTCAAAGTGGTCCCTGATCAAAAAAAAAGGTTGGGAACCCCTGCCACAGAGTCTAGGAAATAAAAGGACCACACCTGCGGGGCCTCAGGAATAAGCAAGAAGTGATGGTACCATCACCAGGGGCTTTGAAAAAGGGGCAGTGTTTGTTTACCTTGCTGCCTCTAGCTCAGCTCCCGGAGACTCACTCCTGGCAGAACTGAGACCCTGATTCTGCGATGCGAGGCCAGCAACGACACCTGGCAGGTGACAGCTTACAACTGACTCAGGGTGTGGGCTCTTCCACAATCTACTTATGACACCACAACTGTTAAAATCTGTGTTCCTCTGGGCTTTTACCAAACTGATCAGTAACCTGCTGCTATCATCAGATAAGACTCACATTTGCACATTTGCAATCTTAAAGGGCTGTCACAGAGAAGAGGGTCCAGGTTCATTCTCTGCTTCCCCAGAGGGTAAGATTGGCTATAATAGATTTAAGTTACAGGAGGGTAGACTCCATTTCAAAATTCGATGATAGAAATGCAATATTTTTCATTAACATGGGGAAAACTGACCTCTTTGTCTCTTTAATCTCCTCTTCAGGAGCTAAGTGTTGTTGAGTAGCCTTAAGGCTTCTGATCTGCCAACTTATTATTCTTTGTTTTTGAATGGACATGGACCGAACAGCCCTTCAAATAAAGGGAAACTTCTGAGAAAATTGCTTTGACAGTCTTTCCAACAGAAATAGTGTACTTTTTAAAGTAAGACACATGACATCTTCTGTGCCCTATGCAAAACTATGCTGGAAAGCAAAATCGAAGACAGAATACATAATAATCTATTGAAACCCAGTTGTGTATTTAATATTTAATAATTTAATATTTAATAATGTGTTCCTTTTATTAAAAGTCTTCCTTGTGTCACAAGGTCTCAGGGATATTAATCTTGCTACAATACCCTGAGATCTTCAAATATTAAGATTAGGCTTTTCTTGTCACCTTTGACACATTGATTCAGACCAGAAGTGCATTGGCAACCAGTACAATTCCTTTAAAAACAGTGTTCTATAATTTTGTGTTACAGTCTTGTCAGCACTCTTACCATTAGCATTTTGCATTAGCCGTAGCTTCCCAGTCATCTTCAAGGGCAGCCCCACATAGAGCACATTGCAGTAATCTAATAAAGACATTAGATATTCAATATTTTTCCTGTGTTTTTATTACAGAGATGCCAAGAAGGGTTTTTCCAAACTTTTTCAGGACAATGCAGCCCTTGTGATTGCAACAACAATGCCTTCAAGTGCCTTGATGGATCTGGAGTTTGTCTGGTAGGTAGTCTTTCCTGGTTACTAAATCTGCAAATGCAATTCTCCTCTTGTTTTGTGAACTGCCCAAAGAACTTTAAGCATTATAAAATGGTTTTAAAACAGATATATCTATCACATCATATTGTTTTATTTATTAGCTCAACTTTTCAAATTAATTTTATCTGAAATGGGAAATAAAATTAAAAAATAGAGTCTGAAAATTTATTGAAGAATATCTAGCAAATAAAGCATCATATTTGTATGCACACAGAGAAAGTAATCATTGCCTTTGCCTTATACATGCAACCATAAAATGAATGTATGTAGTCAATGTTTGGCTCCTTAATTAAAACTAGACCGTTGCTTAATCAAGTATTAATACACAGGGCATTAGATATTGCAGCAAAGGAAACAGTAATTCTAAGATGTATGTATGCACTTCATAGGCAACCTTCCTGCTTCATCTACAAACAAAAAGAATTTAATTGGGTGTGTTACATGTATAACTCATTCAAAAGATGAAATTGCTTATTCTCGGTTCTGATCTAATTTTATGATGCACAAAAGATGAAGGCATCTTTTATATTTCTGCTCACCTTTCTAAAGAATTAGGATGTGTGTGCACTGTAGAATTAATGTAGCTCAACCCCACTGTAACAGCCATGGCTCAATGCTGTGGGATCCTGGGATTTACCATTTGATGAATTACTAGCACTCATTGGCAAAGAAGGTGAAAGACCTTGTAAAACTACACCTCCAATGATTCCATAGCATTGAGAAATGGCAATTAAAGTGCTGTCAAAGTTCATCAATTTTACAGTGTAGATGTACCCTTAGATGCGAAGCTATGGGCAGATGGAATCTTCAAAGGTTCTGCACATTTTTACATTGGTCACTGAAAAGAGGCCCTGGTGGTGCAGTGGGTTAAACCCTTGTGCCAGCAGGAGTGCAGAGGTTCGAATCCAGGGAGAGCATGGATGAGTTCCCTGTGTCAGTTCCAGCTCCCCATCCAAGGACTTGAGAGAAGCCTCCCACAGGGACAGTAAAGCATCAAAACATCTGGGTGTCCCCTAGACAATGTCCTTGCCAATTCTCTCACACCAGAAGTGATTTGCAGTTTCTCAAGTCGCTCCTAACCCCAAAAAAACTGAGAAGAAAGATTTGCAGAAGAGTTAACATCACTTGAATTGCTATAGCCACACTGTTAATTGGGTTTAATACATCCAACTCCTTACCCACTTAATTGTGAATGATTTATCCCAATCCATTTTTCTTCTTCCAAGTCATTCTGGAAATAGTAGACTTTGACCTTGCCACTAAATTTGATGTGTAATTTAATTTAATTACTATTTCACAAGAATTTAATTTCCACCAGTAGAGAATGAAGGCTCCACAATAAAATTTGATTTAAACATGAGCTTTGCTTTAATTGAGTTTCTTCTATGCATGCATCTGTGCCCCCACCTAATTGCCCCTCAAAAACCTGTTTAAATTGCTCTTTCTGCTTTCCCGATTTGAAAACAAAAATTTGACTTGAGGAATTTGGTCTTTGTTTCTCCTACCTGAATGCTCCCTGACCCGGAGGATTCATTTTTGCAATGGAAATACAAGAGAAAGTTTGGCTCGACATATTCACAGGGTTGGGTTTGTGACACTGTTACATCCCCTTTCAGAACCGAAACACTAAGCTGGTATTTAAAACTGTAGAAATGTTCTGGTCTCACAGCCAGATAGCTACCAGGATCACTCTTTTAGGACATGAGATGCTATCCTCTGGCCACCCCCATCCCTGTTGTTATCTGCAGCCAGCTCAATAACCCTTTAAGGTTATGGATCCAGGCAGGGCTGTAACCAGAGGAGGAGAGGTTTAAAAGTTCAACCCTGCCTAAAAAAGAAACCTGGTTTACTCATAAATTGATTAACCAGTTAAAATTCATGAGTAAACCATGTTTCGGGGGGGGGGGGTTAGAACCCTTAACACCCCCTCTGGCTACTTCCCTGTGTCCAGGGTGTGATACTGAATTCATGATATTCTCTGTCTAGTAAGAAAAAGGTCTTCTAAGGACCCTCATTGCCCTACTTGGGGTATTCCCAGTTGGGTTGGCAAGTAGTTATACACAAAAAGAAATGCTGTCTCATATCCAAGCAACTTCTTTGCAAGCAGAAGCATCTTGAAAAGAGTGCTGATCTTCCCAAAGCTACTACACAAGCCAAATGGGACCTCTACTGTAGAGCAAAAATCACCCATCCCTGCTTATATATACCATTCATTTCTATCTGCTTGCATAGCAATGAGTGGTGGGAAGGAAAAGTAGAAAACTCTAATCTCTTTTCTAAATTCTGGACAGTGTTGTGTCTAGGTAACAACAAATACATAAAAAGGAGGAAATCGGGGAATTTATTATTATTATTATTATTATTATTATTATTATTATTATTAACTTTATTTGTACCCTGCTAACATCTCCCGAAGGACTCGGTGCGGCTTACAAAGGCCAAGGTCCTCAATAAAACAACAGCATAACAAATACAAATTTATATTTCATTTATGTATTTATCGATTTATGTTTATACATCTTTCTCCACAAATTGGACCCAAGGCAGCTCGCAGAATTACAGTCAATAATCAGCATCCAGAAACATTAAACATATGATCCACATATACAAAGAATTAAAGACAATGAAATGTAATGACATAACATAGTACAACATGTATAATTGAACGTACATGAAGATCAGATAGTCTTTTTATATGGTCAGCATGGGAAAGTTGCTTTTTAGCATTATAATTTGCAGACTCCCCACCCTGGGTGGCTACCAGCAATATGATCTGACCAAAACCAGGGGAATTTTAGCATGTTCTTTTTTACCCATTTTCTGAAGCCTACAAGAAGAGCATGTATCAATTTGTTAGCATTTGTTGAAATGTATCAGCATATCACAGATTTTAAACATTTGAATTCTAAACAACATAACTAATACCAATCACTTGGTCTTGGGTTTTTTTCCTTCAATGATCATATTTTATAATTAAAATTTAACAGATAGCTAGAAAATGGCACTCTCTAACTTGACACTTTCCAAAAGTCTTGGGCAAATGCCCCCATTACCTAAACTGTGATACATTCTTTTGAAACTCTATTACATGAGTCATTATTTAATAAATCAGTTTGACTCTGTGCAAGCATCAAAAAAATTTTTTTTATCTGAAGTACATTCAGTTATGGGCAGCTCTGAATACTAACAAACTCTCTGATGACAGGGTACACAGGGGTTGTATTCATCAAGTCTGGGCTGGCTTCATGCCTTCTGAGATAGCCTTAATCTTGCTGGGTGCATTGTGAAAGTTCTTCAGCTAGCCAACAAGCATTGCTATTCTGGATATCTCCACTGGCAATGCACAACCACTTACAAAACCCTTTCATTTTAATGACCCAGTATCTGGAAGAGCTCAGTTTACAGGCACAGGGCTTTTGCACTCTGCTTGCCCTGACCCTTCCTGAAATCTAACCTGTTAGGTTGGAAATAGGCATTTTTTCCTTTACTGAAACCACTTTCTTGTTTGTTTTCCCCCTGCTCCCATCTCTTTTAATTGCAGGATTGTCAACGAAACACAACTGGAGAACACTGTGAAAAATGTCCTGACGGCTACCTGGGTGATGTCGTCAGGGGAGCACCCACTTTTTGCCAACCGTGTCCTTGCCCTTTGCCACTGCTTGCCAAGTAAATACTTGATGGAAATTTATTTTATGTCATTGGCTCTAACAGATGTCCCTTCTGCTACTAAGCATTCCCTTGTTCGGATATCATTGGGCCTCCTGAGAGAGGGGAAACTGTTACCAACTATCTAGACAAAGGAATAAGATCATGTAAGCCCAGGCATGAGCAAACTTCGGCCCTCCAGGTGTTTTGGACTCCAACTCCCATAATTTTCAACAGTCTACTGGCTGTTAGGAATTGTGGGAGTTGAAGTCCAAAACACCTGAAGGGCAAAGTTTGCCCATGCCTGTGTTAGCCTGTTTATTTTTACAAGCAGTTTGAGAATATGCTGCTGTTTCTCCTTTATATTCAATCTCACTGGCAATTTCAACGACTAAACAAGTGAACTGTGGATTTGATTATCGTCTAGCCTCATTTCTACTTTTCTACTCTGTCCAGCTTTATTGAAAGAAATACAATTATTTTCCACACTTCCAACAGACCAAAAATTAAACTGAATGGAGTTCCTGAATTTGGCACTCATACAATCTAATATACCATCCTCAAACCTGTCCAGTCACCACGCATTTCTCATCTGCTGAGGTGGCTTTCCATTCAGCTAACTTTCATAGCCAATATTTAGGCTATCTTTCCAAACCATGCATCAGAATAGGCCACCTACACCTTACCTTTCCATGTAAACAAATCAGTCGTCGTTCCTTGCTACCAAAAAGCCCTTGACCCTTATGTCTCAGAAAGGAATGAGACATGCTACTGTAATGTCTGCTGTGTAAACTTGTTTTATTGGGGGGGGGGGGGATCCCTAAAACTAAGGCACACAATTCTAAAGAGATGCAAGCATTTTTCTAAGTTAAACCAATATGACAGACATATTAATGTCTCCTTCCCTTTCACTCCTGAGCTATCTGAAATACGTTTCACCTACAGTGATTCTTCATAGTTATGGGACTGAATAATATACTGTACATATTTTCAAAGGGTAATAGCACATGCACATAAATAAGACACATACATCTTTGCTTATTTCACTTTTGCTTGCAAGAATGAATTGTCTCATTTTTATCTTCTTGCTTGGCAAGATTATGAAAGATTTTCCTCAATTTTATTTATTTGTTGTACTTTATTACTCTTTTTGGGGGGTGTTATTGCTTAACTGGATTGTTCACATACAAAAAGTAAGGGAACAATGATTTGTTGTTTTCCCAGACATCTTGTTCTCTGTGTTAAGCATTCTTCCTTCTCAAAAATATTTATAAGTGCTCTTTACTTGCCTCCATATTACTATATTGCAGAAATAGGAATTATGTACATTAGCTGTTAGATATATGTAGCCTCCATATTGTTGACATTTCCTAGTTATTCTTTTCAATTTTACTGTTTTATTACATATGTATTTGTCACAGATTGCTACTGATGTGGGTTATGGCTTATTATGCAAATATCCTGTGTGATTAGTATTTTATTTATATTGGCTGGCATCTTGTTGGTTAGTCTCGACTCAAGAAGACATATTCGGTCAATTGTTGAATGATGAGTCAACACATTGGTAAATCCCTTAACTTTAGATCTAATTTTTGTCAGAACGAACAAAAGGGTTTAGGCTTAAGTGTGCCCTACTTTTTGTATATATAGTTATTACTGCTGGTGTGACCTGCAGAAAAATTGGTCAGCTAAGACAACTATTGCTGTCTTAGTTGTGCACTACAGTACCTAAACTTGAGATTTAGGGTATCAGAAGACTTCAGATCCTGTCCGATTTTAGAAGCTAAGCAGGATCAGCACTAGGCTGTACTTCAGTGGGAGACCACCAATAAATACCAGGTACATTTCAGAGGAAGGAACTGACAAAAATATCTTGAAGGATTCCTTGCCTAAGAAAAACCTATCAAATTTGTGGGGTCAACATAAATTGACATACAACTTGAAACTACACATAGGGCACCATCAGGCAAGCATCCTAATTTTTCAAGCCAATGCCTTTTTAAAAAAACAGAGATAGTTCGTGTAGCATAAAAGCAACCCAATGAAAGTGTTATCATTTTGAAGTGCTAGGGAGAATATATATATATATATATATATATATATATATATATATATATATCACCTGATTTGTATCCCACCCTTTTCTACCCCGAAGGGGACTCAAGGTAGCTTCACATATGGCAACTATTCAATGCCTTTGAACAAAAAACAGTTAAAATACATTAAGTTAAAGGTTTAAAAATTAAAATTAAATGCACATTAAAACATATGAAACATTCCAATCACCATTAAAATATTTTAGATTGAAGGTAGTAATCCTTGAACTGTGACACAGCACATTATTTACCCGAGAATAGCAACATGGATTTCAATCATCTGAATATTTATGAGGGAGAAACAAACAATTGTTTCTTTCCCATTTAAATCCCATTGTGAACTCGATTTTAATCCATAAGTAATTTTTATCCCTTAAGCTGAAGAGGGATGTTTTATTTTCTCTTGAGGGCTTTTACTATTGTTCTATTTGCTTAATTATTCCTGCTCAAAGTCACTGGTTGTAGCTTGTTTTACCCGTGAGTTTATGCACTTTGCAAACCTTGCAGAACTGTGTTGGGAAGGTCATGGGTTTCTGTAAAACAAAAATCCTTTCTTCCCTTCTTCCTTAGATATATATTTCACGGCATAATTAGGTAGACAGTTCCACAAATAAGTATCCAGGTGGCAATCCTCACATGTATACAGGCAGTCCCCAAGTTACAAACAAGATAGGTTTTGTAGGTTTGTTTGTAAGTTGAATTTGTTTGTAAATCAGAACAGGTACATTTTTAAGTGTAACTCCAGCCAATTATAAATATCTATATAAGCTTTGGATAGCATAGGGAAGGGTTGACATCCCTGTGGTGTTTGTTTTGCTGTCTGTGCCCCTGTTCAGAAGATTTCGCCTCACTTTCTGTCCCTGTGAGAATTGGATTTTGAAAAATTTGGCTTGTTGTGAAAACAAGGATTGGTGAGAAAGATTCAATGGAGGCTCCATTTCCCCATGATAATAACTCTTCCAAGAGTGAATTTCCCTTCCAAGGGGTAGATTTTCCTCCCTTCCTGTTGTCTCACCTCCATTCATAACTATGAGTTATTTATAAGTCGGATGTAACTTGGGGACTGCGTGTATGGGGAGAAGGAGAATATCAACATGTGTGGCCTGTTCTGATTTTTATGAATGTATGTACATTCCCCATTGGATTTTAAAGAGCTTATAGTGAGATTAATAGACCTACAAGTTACAAATCCAGAGGCAGGGGACTCAGTTCAGTAATTGCAGGGAAAATAACTGATACAAAAGTGACAGAATGTGTAATTATCTGACTTTTGCTAAAGAAAAATATCTTTAAACCAAGGGCAAGCTGTTCTGGTTCATAGAAGCCACCCAAATTTCCATGCTGCTGTATCCCATGCAAATTTGCAAATACCATCTCTACATCACAGCATACTTCCTGCTGACTTTTCCTCATTAGTTTGCAATGTAGTGAGCAGTAATCAGTGGCAGAGCAGTAATCAGTGGCAGTGCTTAATAAATGTTCCTACTGGCCAGAATTCAGCTTGTGCCTTCTACCAGTGGAAAGCTTTGATCATAGAGATGGAAAAGAATGTTGCTATCCATTATTTCTCCCCTTCCCTGCAGCACAGATTTCATCGCTCTTGCAAAGAGTTGGGCAGAGTGAATTGTTACTTAATATATCAACCAGCCTCATCTCCCCATTGCAGAACAGGCTACACGAGAATGGATTTATCACGGAAACTCAGGGTGCTTTTACACAAGCGTTATAATGCAGCTTCAAGGCAACTTGAGGTCGGGATGTCTACAAAATGCACGCTCCCAATGTGCACTACAGGACACATCAAGCCAGAAACAGAGTGTTAAAAAACTCACCAGAAAAAAACTCACTCATCTAGAACATGGTCATATAGCCCGAAAAAACCCACAAGAACTCACCAGAAAGTCTGGAGCTGACCAGATAATGCACTGCAGCTGATCAGAGTATATCCCATGCAGGGCTTGAAACTGGGATGATCCCAAATGGAAGTGGATATGTATAGTGCACCATCATATCTCAGTAGATGCTAAGGGGAAAAATTCTTCCATTTTCCGTAGCTTTCTAGCCATAGATACCGTGGTTTCTGGATCTGGTTCCAATCTGCAATCAGTGGAAACTGGCCACTGCTGCATAACAAAACCAGTTTGTTTTACTTCACTTCCAAACAAGATTATAGTATCTACAGAACTGCCCCCAGTGTTTTGATCCTTTCAGTTGCTATACCTTATCCATGTAGAATGTGATCACAATCTCCCATCCCATTTCCACATGCAGACACACACAGCCTCTTATCTACTACTAGCACACATAGCAAATTGTTGACTTTGACCTATGGCAACCCTATGAATGAGATACCTTGAAAAGTCTCTGTTTTGGTCTTGCAAACTCTGGACTATGGCTTCCTTAACCGAGTTTCTATTTTCCAATTGCCTTCCACTTTGTGTGTTTGTGAGTATGTGTGCTTTTAAGTCATCTGTCAATTTATGGTGACCCTATGCATTTCATATGATTTCCTTAGGCAAGGAGTGCTGATAAGTTTTGTCTGTTCCTTTTTCATCCCATTCAAGTACTAATCAAGACTGACTTTAGCTTCCAAGATCATTCAGAATCTCGTGTTTTTAGGGTATTGCATTATTGCTTCTTCCAGTGCGTCACATTGTCTCAAAGTACAACCTCAGTTTAGTCACCATTACTCCTAATGAGAGTTCAGGGTTAATTTGCTCTATGAGGAATACATTTATATTTTAAGCAGTCCACAGTATCTGTGGAACTCTTCTCTGGTTCAAATGAGTTTGCTTTCTCCCTGTCAACCTTGTTCACTGTCCAGCTTTCACAACCGTACACAAAAGTCAAAACTACTGTGGCCTGGGTGATTCTTTTATATTTAATTTTATGTCTTTTACCCTTGGTGATTTTCTCTAGTTTTTTCATGGCTGTCTTTTCACATTTGTGTCTTCTTCCAATTTATTGACTACAATTTCCTTTTGAGTTGTCAAATCAGCATCCTTAGATGAATCCAACATAGTTTGAATCCTACTGGTTAATCTGAATGGGCATAAACCAATTACATCATTGTTATATGAGCCCCCGGTGGTGCAAAGGGTTAAACCTTTGTGCCAGCAAGACTGAAGACTGACAGGTCAGAGGTTTGAATTCGGGGACATTGCAGATGAGCTCCCTCTATTAGCCCCAGCTTCTCATGCGGGGAGAGAAGCCTCCCACAAGAATGGTAAAACTTCAAAACATCCGGGTGTCCTCCGGGCAAAGTCCTTGCAGACGGCCAATTCTCTCACACCAGAAGCAACTTGCAGTTTCCCAAGTCGCTCCTGACATGGAAAAAAAAACAATGGTTAGATGTTTAGTCAATTGTTAGCTGTTTAGTGTAGCAAATATATCAATACTATGAGTGTCTTCTAGTTAGGATTCAAATCATTGTCTTATATATAGATATCTGATACATTTTTAAAGGACACCAGGTCATATAATAAAACAAACTGCTATTTTAATCATTACATTCTCCTTTTCTTCTTTAATATTTATATGAACAGGATATTGCTAGAGAAGTGAAATCAGAATTGGACATAACATCCTAAAAGTTTTGGAGAGAGCACGCTTGCCGTTCCACTTTTAACAAGGGAGTTAACCATATGAAAAACAGAGCCAAGGGATTTGCAAAGTCTGGCCAATGGTGTATCAAAATGTCTAAGCTGGCAGATTCATTATATACACAGTTGTTCTTGGGACTCATCTGTGTGGATTGAATTTTTTGTTTTCTTTTATTTTGTTGGTCTGGACAAGCTATATCCATATCTAATACCCTGGGAACTTGCACAAGAGGTCCTGTTAAAGGAGCTATCATTTCTTGGAACAACTCAATACCAGCTGTTCTAGGCAATATCAAATGTAATTGGAGTTGTTAAAATTTTAAAAAATGTATTGTCAAAGGCTTTCATGGCCAGAATCACTGGGTTGTTGTAGGTTTTTCAGTAGTGAGGTCTTAGGATGCTTGCCATAGATGCAGGTGAAACGTCAGGAGAGAATGCCTCTAGAACATGGCCATATAGCCCGAAAAACCTACGACAACCCATAAAAAAATCTATGCATTTTATTTGCAGGTTTTTCCCCGCAACAAACCTGGGAGTATCTTTGGTTTGTTCTGGTGTCCAAAATAATGTTTTCTTCTAATTTGATAAGAAATTAACCTGTGTAAAATAAGTGAAGGGTGTTGAAACTGTGTCACACTGAAAAGTTGCAGAATGCAATATGTGAAAATTGTTTCTCATGACAATCTCAATTTGAAGTCACACTGAATATAAATGTCTCCAAGTGAGACAAACAGATGCAGACATTTTAACTCTGAAGAATATTCACTTAAAAGTGCAGATGAAAAAATGAAATATAAGCCAAAATTACACGTGCCTTCTTTTATATAAACATACTTGATTCTTCCTTACTGTAGATAGGATTACATACCTATCTTTTCCATGCCCCTGACAAAACAAGCCCCATTCTTGTACTATAGTAGTCCATTGTAAATGGGTTATGAATTAAAGCCAGATTCTAGTCTGAACTAAATTAGCTATCCAAGGTAATGATTCTATTTTGAGAATATAGTTTATTACTTTGGATAGCTCCTTTAAGGTTGATCTAAAACCCAGAGTGGATTCACCATCCCACTAACATGGAAACCATTAGTACTATTGCCTACAAAGATGTGCTGGGTTTTGCAGCATGAGACTAATACATCTCTGCTCTTTCAAAGTTCACAACCTGAGAATTATCCTGAGATAAGGCAGCATGTGGTTCACATGTCTTACTGTGCCATCTGTATATATCCACAGATATATATTTGAGATTTCAAAACAGGATCAAGATCTGGCATCAAACAGGTAGCCATAATGTTACAAACAGGTAGCCATAATGTACTCATCATCTCCCTGTTCAACCCCTGAAACTCACCCTAAAAGCCATTCAACCATCTGTGCTACTGGCAAGTGGGATGCTGCAGGATGACATGACCAGCCTTTCCCCAGCAAGAGCAATAGCAGGAACTGTCACAATTTGTCGAAGCATCACTTGTTGCTGGGAAGGAGCTGGTCACGCCATCATGAGTGCCCTGCTCACCAGCAACATAGATCTCCAGCACTCCAAGACACTAACTCTATTTTAAGGTGGGTCTCAGGGTCGTTTGCCATGTGGCAATAATGTGCTGCAATCACAAATGAGAATACAAAGCAGATGACCTTGTTACTCATGACATTGTAACTGACTAACAGAATGCCAGCCAGAAAATTTATTGCAGCATTTTAGGCTGACAGAGAAAACATTTTTATCCCGAAGGCTATCTATAAATTCTGTTTCCAAAACTATTAATATTAATGCTTTATAATTAGAAAAACAAACTCTCAAAATAAAAAAAATTGCCGTAGGGTAACATCCCATGAATACAGATTGCTTATAGTGTGCATTATTATAACAGAAAAAGCATACAGCTGTTATCTGAACTATTCAGCAAAAGATATCGTTTTAATAGTATTTAAGCATTATTGCTATGATAGCTTTCTTCACATCAATTATAAATGGACTACAGCAGTTTATAGAGCTAAATCACACTATTGTATTATGTAAGTATAATTGCGTGAATATTACAGATATTCACGCAATTATACTACAGAACCCATAGTGAGGGAAGAATTTGTAGTCTGAGTCTTGGAGTCATCACAGCCCACACAAAAAATGTTTAGAAAGAAGTCCCACGGTGGCACAATGGGTTAAACTATTATGCCGGCAGGGCTGCTGACCAACAGGTCAGTGGTTCGAATCCAAGTAGCTGACATATGATGAATCACTAGTCCTCATTAGCAGGGAAGGCTAAAGACCTTGTAAAACTACACCTCCCATGATTCCATAGCATTGAGAAATGGCATCTAAAGTGCTGTCAAAGTGCATCAATTTTACAGTGTAGATGTACCCTTAGATGCAATGCTGTGGGCATAAAGAATATTCAAAGGTTCTGCACATTTTTACATTGGTCACTGAAAAGAGCCCCCGGTGGCACAATGGGCTAGACCCTTGTGCCGGCAGGACTGAAGGCCGACAGGTCGGAGGTTCGAATCTGGGGAGAGCACAGATGAGCTCCCTCTGTCAGTTCCAGCTCTTCATTCGGGAACATGAGAGAAGCCTCCCACAAGGATAGCATTGAGAAATGGCAATTAAAGTGGTGTCAAAGTGCATCACTTTTACAGTGTAGATGTACTCTTAGATGCAATGCTGTGGGCAGAAGGAATCCTCAAGGGTTCTGCACATTTTTACATTGGTCACTGAAAAGAGCCCCCGGTGGCACAGTGGGTTAAACCCTTGTGCGGCAGGACTGAAGACTGACAGGTCGGAGATTTGCATCCGGGGAGAACATGGATGAGCTCCCTCTGTCAGCTCCAGGTCCCCATGCTGGTACATGAGAGAAGCATCCCACAAGGACGGTAAAACATCAAACATCTGGGCATCCCCTGGGCAACATCCTTACAGACAGCCAATTCTCTCTCACCAGAAGCAGTTTCTCAAGTTGCTCCTGACACGGAAAAAAATGAAATCATTGCACTCTCAAGCCTCTTTGGTTTTCCCATTAGAAAGAAGTCAGCTTGAAAGCATAATATAACACCAAAGTTATGCATCATTGTCAGCATGAAAGAGGAATGTGAAAAAAAAATCTCAATCTGTAACTGTCACAAACCATGTAGTGCACAGTACTATATAGGGTTGCAGCAAACAGATCATATCCATGAGTGTCTTCTGACTCTGAGAATGTTTTATTGCCATTTTTAGCTTTGCAGATTCCTGTTACAGAAAAAATGGAGTGGTGCGCTGTAGGTGCAAAGAGAATTACGCAGGGCCAAACTGTGAAAGGTAAACACATTTTCAGATGTAGCTTTTAAGATGGTAAGACTTTTTGGCATGTATCTTGCTTGTATAATATGCATGAATTTTAACCAGTACTTTATTTTTACACAAACCTAACCATTTATGGAGAAAGAAAAGTTTGAGTGTATGCATGACTGTGTTCAGCCATATGTTTTCAACCTTATCCATATGGTGAGTTTAAAAATCCCAACACAATTTTCATTTCTGAAAGTGAAAAAGTATAAACTAAAGGACTACGGATATAGTCCCACTTCCAGTCATCTCTGGTGTTCAGAGTTTCTACTTTCTGTTTTGTTGACATAGTCAGAAGGCCACCAGGCTAAGAGATCAGAAAAGGGTGGTTATTAATCATTTCTGGGTTTGTATTTTCCTCCAGGTGTGCCCCTGGTTACTATGGAAATCCCTTGCTCATTGGCAGTTCCTGCAGAAAATGTGACTGCAGCGGCAACTCAGATCCTAATCTAATCTTTGAGGACTGTGATGAAATGACTGGCCAATGTCGCAACTGCATGCGCAACACGACAGGGTTCAATTGTGAACTATGTGCTCCTGGTTATTATGGGAGTGCTAGAATACCTAATGGTTGTGCAGGTAAATGAATGCTATTCAGTTTATTCAATGTTTTACAACCAAAGATCTATATAGTGCTGCCCAAAGAAGATGGCTTATACCTTTGCCGACAGGGCAATGAATTTGTTTTGGATGCAAGAAATATGAGTACGCTTTGGTATGGACAGAACGAGAGCGAGATAAAGAGATTTGTTCATGCCAACTGCAATGGATCCCTTGAATGAACTGTTGAATGGAGGGTCTACTGGTGATACAATATGTTACACCCTTATGCTGGCAGAACTGCTATCCAACAGGTCAGCAGTTCGAATCCAGGGAGAACAGGTTGAGGTCCCTCTGTCAGCTCCAGCTTCCCATGTGGGGACATGAGAGAAGCCTTCCACAAAGATGGTAAAACATCAAACATCCGGGCAGCCACTGAGCAACGTCCTTGCAGACAGCCAATTCTCTCACACCAGAAGCAATTTGCAATTTCTCAAGTCGCTACTGACACGAAAAAAAGGTTCACTAGAGCTATTAATTCAATAGATCTACTCTAGTTGGGATTTAAAATTTGATTCAGGTTGTCATCATGAATATTCACGCAATTTGGAATTTATTCCTCTGGAGGAAAGGGATTAACTTCCTTTGAAGAATTGGCTCTAGTGCCTCACCAACTGTAAATGCTAGGATTCCATAGGACATAGTCATGACAGTTAAAGTGGAATCATTTTGCTCTACTTCGGTAGTGTGAAAGAATCCCAATAAAAACCTGCGGATAGCCTGGATAGATGGGATCAAAGCAGAGTCCAGCAAGCTATTTCTCAGGCCAAACTAGATTTTAATATTTATGTCTGAAGCATTGTGGCATGCATGTTTTATTTTTTAAACAAAGTAACTAATGTGTAGAGAGGTCATCTGGATCAAGACACAGGAAGGGAAATTTTCAATGTTTTTTTTGCCACTGCCATGAGCAACCAGAAACAAGAAGCAGTTGCTCAAAGGCATATGGTGCAACCGTGTTGTTTCAGCCATCCACCTATGATCTTCAAGTCCTAGATTGAAACACCAAAGGAAGGTTCCAGAAAAAGAGAAAAATGACAATGGTTGTGCCAGCTGTAGGATTCTGGGAGACATAGTCACCAAGTATTCGTTTCACTATTGCAACTAAGGCAGATTAATATAGTGAAAGATGGCAACGTATTTTCTCATCATGCAAACCACACCATGTATGTATTACAAGTATTTAAAAGAAACTGTACTTGGGAACTAAGCTAGTTTTAGAAGCTAAAATATTCAAATTCCATTTGAAATAAATGTAATTTCATGATATCTAATTTTATTTGTACAAGCAGTTACAAACATCCCAGTTACAAACAACTCATAGTTAAGTACAGGGGTGACACAACAGGAAGTGAGAAAAATCTATCCCTAGGAATAGAAATTCTTTCCTGAAAGAGTTATCGCCCAGGGGGGGGGGGGAGGAGGTGTCTCCACTGAAGCTTTCTCACCAATCCTTGTTTCCACAGCAAGCCAAATTTTTCAAAATCCAATTATCACAGGGACAAAAACTGAGGTGAAATCTTCTGAACAAGGGCACAAACAGCAAAACAAACACCACTTAATGCACTTGACTAGTCGTGTCCACCTCTGGAAGGTGGTGCTCATCTACATTTCTAAGCCTAAGAGCCAAGGTCATGTGGCTGGCATGACTGCATGGAACACTGTTACCTTTCCACCGAAGCAGTAACTATTGATCTACTCACATTTGCATGTTTTCAAACTGCTAGATTGGCAGAAGCTGGAGCTAATGACAGGGAGCTCATCTCGTTCCCCGTCTTCAAACTGCCAACCTTTTGGTCAGCAAGTTCAGCAGCTCAGTGGTTTAATCTGCTGTGCAACCAGGGTCTCCTTGTGTGTGTGTGTGCGTAAAATCTAATTCAGCTTAAGAAAAAAACTTGGGGACTTCCTGTATATACTGATGTCTCATCATCTGAGTGAGTTCTGTTTCACCCCAAAATGTCATTCTGTTACTCTGCTAAGATCATTGGCTCTTACTTAATGCAAATTCTACTTGCACTAAGTAGAATTTGGTTTAGTGCAAGCTTTCCAATCAACCTTAATTTTGCACATAAATCAAACAAGCTGGTGTCTCTCAGGTAATGAGACAATGCATTTGCTCTGGATTTCAGTCTGTGCTGTAAAGAAGCTATCCAATGTTCTGAACCTGTTTTGCAGAGAGAGAGTGGCATCTTGAATAGCATCTTTAAAGTTCAGACTAATAAGAACTACAATAGAATCACCATTAAATTTACAATGAAAGCCACCAGCTGCCAGTGACTTGACTCTGCCCTTGGTTTCCCTGCCTTCTATGAAGGAAAATATTAAATGTACATAATTTCACGTACCAATTGTAATAAACCATCCATTATGTTGTCTTTGAGGCCTAATGGATTGTTATCACTCTCTCTTCTTTTCCTAGCATGCAACTGCGGAGGAGGACCTTGTGACCGTCGAACAGGGGAATGCCTAGCAGAACCTCCAATGCCTCCTCCAGGGACGGATTGTCCTGTTATTAGTAAGTACAGCATTTACTTGACATTTTAGCTGCACTGAATCCCCCCACCATGCCTTTGCATTGTGGATATAGATAAGAACTTGTAGCCTGATTCTGTGCTTGGTTCTGTCCATTATGAACCCGAAAACCACAATTAAAACCCTCCCAATGATTGAAAAATAAACATAACAGAGTCACTTATAAAGATACAGTAGAACTGTTAGTCCAGATATTTGGGAGGAGTGTATAACATAATGAAATGGCAGGGAATTACTAGGTAAGTTGGTTAAGATCTATTCCTGGCTCTATCCACAGGAGGCTCACACATTACCCACTCTGTAATAATGTGGCTGCTTATTTGTGGGCTAGATTTTACAGGGTAAACATACATTAATGTTCTAGGATAATCCTGAGAAACCAAATGCAGTCTTTTGTGACTGTGTAGCAGGATAACTGGCAAGAATCCAACAGACCTTTTCAACACAACTGTGGTTTATTGCTACATAGCATTTATCAAATGGGATTGAACTCCACCTATGAGCTGCTGCAGTAAGAAAATGACAGGAGCTCAGAAGGTTAGAAAGCACTGACTTTGAACCTCTGTGCTGTCTAGAATGTAATGATCCCACACATTTTATATCTGGCATCCTGTCAATGGCATACACAGCTATATGTTAACCTTGGGGCTCTGTATGACTTCTTTCAGGCAATGCAGGACAGTAATATTCTTTTCCTTCCTCCACACCAACCAAAGAACCACGCCACCACACACACATTAAGTGTCGAATTCCCACAACCACCCTATGGTCATTTCATGCATGGTGAGAAAGAGAGGGGAGTTAGATACGCATCCAGATGCATCTCCATCACCAAACACAAAATAATTACATCATCCTCTGAGACTCTTGGAAGCCTTCAGAGGATCTCAGGAGAAGATGTAAACATTTCACAGCTGGCTACTGGAACATAGCCAGATGTTTGTCTAATCCTCCCTCCACATGCAGGTCTACTATGCTGTGCAGAGCTATGCGGGATGTTGCCCCAGTAACTTAATGCTTAATTTTAAGGACAGGATGATGCACACTAACTTCGTAACAAAAGTCCCTGTGCATTGCAGCCATACTCTCTAAGTCCCCAACTTCTGTATGTTCAGTAGGGAGCTGACAAATCTAGTACAGTTTTGGTTTTTCAAAACAAAGAAAGAAGTGAAGGAGGAAAAAAAGATATCTCAAGAAAAATTAAGTCTCCTTCTGCTCATTGTTGTTTCTTTTGCTTAATTGCCAGGCTGTGACAAATGCATTTGGGACTTGACAGACGATATTGGCTTGGCAGCTCAGTCCATCGATGAAAGCAAAGAAACTCTCCTTAGCATCTCCACTGGGGTTGCTGCTCACAGACATTTGCATGACCTCAATTCCACCACTTTCATCCTCAAGGTACCAGTTAATTCTTGTAGCCATGTGTCTATGTTTTTGTCAGTGCTATCGGTAGAAAGGGTCTTTATTCGGGCTTAATTTAATTAATTTACACATTTATTTTATTATATTTTATTTGTGTTGTGCTTTAAGTTTGCCTATCAACATAGGCAATTCTATGATTTTCATAGGATTTTCTTTGGCAAGGAGTACTCTGAGGTGGTTTTGCCACTTTCTTCCTCTAAAATATTCCCTAAATACAGGCATAGGCAAACCCAAGCCGGTGTGCCAGATGCGACCCTTTGGGTTCTTGCCACTGGCCCCAGCCATGTGTCACAGTCCTGGTCCTGACCCCCACCCTCCCAGTCACACACGGTTGTGCAGTGCTCTCTTGACAGGTCTGCACAGCCACATGGCAAGCCCTCCTCTTTGCAGAAGGACATGGTGGCTGTGCAGGGCTCTCTCTCAAGTCTCACATAGCCGCATGTCAAACTTCCTCTTTGTGGGAGGACAAGGCGGGCTGCTGTGGAGAGCCCTGTGCATCTGCATGTGAAATCCTCTCTCTCCCCTGCAGATAGGATATGGTGCCTTTACAATATTTAGGCCTCTTTTTTCCCAGTACTAGGACTCAAGGTAGCTCATAGCATGACTTTAAAAAACCGATACTCATCTAGGACTTTTCACCTCCAGATCTCTTGCCTGGAGATGTCAATGGTCCAAATATGAACTTAGACAGGATGGAGGTAGTCTTGGTCATGTAGTTATTCAAGCTATGTTGTATCATTCCTCTTAAAAACATAGGGTTGTAGATGGAAGGTACTTTTAGATCAAATTTTAGCCATGAATGGTCAAGTCTATTATAGCCAAAAGTGTCTTTGCACAACAGACAACCATGGTAATGGCTGGAGAATGCAGATGCAAACAGGGTGATGACTATCTTAGTTATAACATGCTTGGATTGCCCTGTTTATATTTGTAGAGTTAATTTTTGCCCCATTTAAAAAAATAAACTCCAAATGGGGCCTGTTGGGGAGCATTTGAGGGCCTGAAAGAGAATTAGGACCATTCTGTTGGCTGCCAAGCTATAGAACCCATTGCTTACAACACGTAAAGGTTCCTTGTGTTTGTGGATTATAGTTAGGAATTTTTAGCATCATTCTCATTGCAATCATCATCATTATTATCATTATCATAATTTCATGGAATATAATAAATTAGGATTTGTGTGACCTTCCAAATGTTGTTAATTGAAACTCTTGACGACCACCACCAATTATTATTCTGACTAGTTTAATGGGAGCTACAGTTAAACAATATTTGGAAGGCCACACAATTACTACTCATGAGTTTGAAAGGGGCAGTTTTTGGATTACAGCTCTCGGATTCCCATTGGCAACATGGTCTACTGAGTTCTGACATCTATAAAGCTGGTTGGGGAATTCTAGGAATTCTAGTCAGGGATCTTCCTATTATTAATGGCATTTACTATGCTCACTGGATAATTGCGAAGTCTGCAGTGGCACAGTGGGTTAAACCCTTGTGCCGTCAGGTCAACAGTTCGAATGCAGGGAGAGCAGGTTGAGCTCCCTCTGTCAGCTCCAGCTTCCCATGTGGGGACATGAGGGAAGCCTCCCACAAGGATGGTAAAACATCAAACATCTGGTCTTTCCCTGGGCAACATCCAGGCGGCCAATTCTCTCACACCAAAAGAGACTTGCTCCTGACACACACAAAAAAACTCCTGGATAATTGCCAGGAATATGTCCATCACAACAGAACAAGTTATTCCTCATCACCTTTACGACCAGGAGAAAAGTAGTTAGGAATCAAGTATAAACAAGGCAGAGTTTAATCTTAACCCCTTTTTTAAAAAAAACTCTGCATGGGAAAAGCTGTTACATCAGCTTTATTTTTGTATTCTTTCTGTCTTTTTCTTGCCATCCACCCAACTGAGAGTGGGTTGGAGCTTCACATGTTTATTTTGAGCAAAAGGTTTCTACCAATTCCATGCACCACACTTTGTACTAGCATAGTTTGAAGAGGTATGCTGAGAGGTATGTGTGGTATGGAAAGGGAAAAACAAGACTAGGCCAGGAATGTGAAACCTCCTTTAGACAATGGGATAGATTCCCAGGGAAGCCATGCAATCCTCTACTCAATAAATTTTAATAAAGCACTAAATAAGCATCTGTCAGTAATGATTTAGGATTTAGATGTCTGACTGCAAAAAGTTAGCCTGCTGCCCCCATGAGGTTCTTTTGATTGTAAGATATAAACTTAAGATCATCATTACAATGTTTGTTGAAAAATGTATAAAGAAAAACACTGAACAGAGATGTAAAAACATGTCAAGGTACACACACTAACATTTTCAAAATTATTTTGATATGTAGGTAAAACTATCTGAAAAGGATAATGCTTCTGGACTGATGAAGAGCCAGATTGATCATGCAGCCAACGAGATGACTGATCTTCTCAAAGAAATCAATGCACTTGATGAAAAGGTTTGCCTGCTGTTTGAAATTTCCCCCCATTCCTTTCATTTCCCTGTTTCAAAAGAACCTGGTATAAAACTTGGTGATTTGGTGGAAGCAACTTTTCATGGAATGAGAAGATGGATTAATGCTACGAGAAGAGGCCTGAGTGCCAAATTTTTATATACCTATTTCACTTGCCTGCAACTACAGGTGTGCCAAGGAAAGGCTCTTTCCAATAGAAAAGTTCAATTAGTCAATCCCCACAGAGATTGACTAATTTTATTTGATAAACCTTTTTAGGGAGCACAGATGTTGTTGTTTTGAAAGACTAACTCAGCTACCTTGCTGGACATCTCCCAAGAGAGATTTACCTAGTGCAGTGGTTCTCAACTTGTGGGTGCCCAGGTGTTTTGGCCTACAACTCCCAGAAATCCCAGCCCATTTACCAGCTGTTAGGATTTCTGGGAGTTGAAGGCCAAAACATCTGGGGACCCACAGGTTGCGAACCACTGGCATAGTGCTGTGGTGGTTGTGTCACCTGATTTTGGGGATGAATCTACACAGCCATCTCTGATTTTTGGAGTCCTGGAGTCCAAAGGTGTCAGAGGGAGCCCACCCCCTCTTCCTAGCCCCCCAATAGGGCCCTAAAATTTATGAGATTTCCCTCTTCACACCTCCCATCTCCTGAGGCGCCATTTCCTCAACTCATGAGGGCTCTCCAGAGAAGCTCCGTGGCTGCCAGCCTCTTTTGGGGTGAAATCGGGGGCTTTGGGGTGACTTCATGCCATTCTGATTTGATTCATGATGCCATGTAGCTACCCCCCCCCTCCCCCAAGGAAAAGCCCGGGGTTTAGGTAGGAGGTGGAACTAGAACCCATGCAGAAGCAGGTTATTTTAACCCATTTCTGTACAGCTTTTAGCTATATGTGAAAGCATCCTGAGAGTGGAATTTTATAATATTCACAGATATAATTGCCAATTACTGCTACATGTGTACTTTTTTTTGATGGGGGGGGTTGTTGCCAATGGCGGTATTCTATCCACAAAGGTTGTCTTCAGGATGGATGCCGCCTGTGGCCATTTAGTGGTCAAGGAAGATGTACAACAGCAGGCAGTCTTCCTGCAGGTGTAAGAGTGAGAAACAGAAAGATATTTCTGGCAGGAAGATGATTTTATACTCCAGACCAAACAAGTTCTGATTCCTAGAGAACTTGATGGTCCTCTAGAAGGCCAGGGAGGCTCCCTAGTGGCGCAGTGGGTTAAACTGCTGAGCTGCTGAACTTGCTGACTGAAAGGCTGGCAGTTCAAATCTGGGGAGCAGAATAAGCTCCCACTGTTAGTCTCAGCTTCTGGCAACCTAACAGTTCAAAAACATGCAAATGTGAGTAGATCAATAGGTACCGCTTCTGCGGGAAGGTAACGGCCTTCCATGCAGTCATGCTGGCCACATGTCCTTTGAAGTGTCTATGGAAAATGCCAGCTCTTCGGTTTAGAAATGGAGATGAGCACCACCCCCAAGAGTCAGACACGATTTGACTTAATGTCAGGGGAAACCGTTTCATTTACCTATTAGAAGTCCAGGAGGTTGAAGCTGAAACACAACCTGCAGTTTGGCCATCCACCATCATTGTCCTGTGATCCTCAAGCCACTAAATGATTGTGGGGGTGGTTAGCTTGAAAACAGTGAATTGGTGTAGAAAATAACAGGAAGGGGAAAGTTCCTGGGAAACCACAACCCATCAGATTAGACCTTGCATAGCCCTGGGTGATCTAGAATGTTCCCAGATTAGCCATTTCACATATTCTATTTTTATCGAGCATCCACATGACATTGAGTTTTCCCCATTATCTTTTTGTAACCTCCATTTCACTTAAAGCCCAAATGGTTTTTTTTTTGTTGTTTTGTTTTTTACATTATCCTAGTTCATAGTTCTTCACTTCTCCTATGACATCCATTCATTACGCTGGCATGGTGAAATAGCTTACCTACATGCCTATGCACGCACGCACGCACACACACATATACATATACATAAAACAAATCTGTGAGGGCACCTAGTCCCATGGTAAAAAATAACTTCTGCGTCTGTCACTCATTTGGTGCCACGTTTTTTCTAATACGATAGCATGTCAATGTCAAATTCTAAACTGATTATAGTAATCAAAGTGAAAGCAAATCAGCCTTTCTTTGAAGACATTTCAAGCTGTAGTGATTGTACGTGGAAACTTTCATAACATTTTCATTAGCATGATTAGACATACTTCACAGTCTCCTCCAACCTTACAACCACTTCTCTAACCACTTACAAGTCATTTCTCAATAGCAACTGCATGAATCCTCTCTTTAGCATTCAGGTCATATAGTGACCCTATTATTATCTTGCACAGTCTGTAGCAAAAGATTAAATGAAGACTGCAATTTTTCTGATAGCCATGATATAATCAGGCATGCTTTATATATCTCTCAGTTCTGTGTGATGTAATATTTGTAACGTAAAACCTATAGTACCACTATACTTGTGGATAACATCAGATGCCATATGGTATGGGTCTTTCCAATGCAAGCACTGATCCATCTTTGGAAGGAGCAATGTTGTACTCAGGACCCATATCCTAGGCCCTTTCACACTTTTACTGGAGGTGTCCAAAAGATGCCACCAGTAAAAGGATTAATACGAGACAAAGCAGGAAAACCCGAATTACTTTGATACTCCAATAGACCCGGGCCTTCCTGAATGCCTGGGTTTAATGGAGTATAGGGTCCTGTGGGGACAGGCCCACGGGCAGTCCCAGGACTACTCGGGGGCTTGTCTGCATACCCATCTCCCACATTTTGGGCTCCTGGAGATGCAAGATGGTGCTGACCCTCTTCCCAAACCCCTCCCCAAACCCTTTTAAATAAAAAGAAATCATACCAATTATGCACAAGAAGCTGGGGGGGGGGGGGCAGGCAGGATTGATCCAGCCCATCTCCTTTTGCATCATTGATATGTTTCATCAGGCTGGAGAGAGGTCTAATGGCTTCCGGTAAGTTTTCCCCCAGTAGTGCAGTGGGTTAAAGCAAATAAGCTGCTGAACTTGCTGATCAAAAGATTGCAGGTTTGAATCCGAAGAGTGACATGAGCTCCTGCTGTTAGCTCCAGCTTCTGCTAACCTAAAAAAGGTAAAGGTAAAGGTAAAGGTAGTCCCCTAACCTTAAGTCCAGTCATGTCTGACTCTGGGGTGTGGTGCTCATCTCCATTTCTAAGCCGAAGAGCCAGCGTTGTCCGTAGACACCTCCAAGGTCATGTGGCTGGCATGACTGCATGGAGCGCCGTTACCTTCCCACCGGAGGGGTACCTATTGATCTACTCACATTTGCATGTTTTCTAACTGCTAGGTTGGCAGAAGCTAGGGCTGACAGCGGAAGCTCACGCCGCTCCCCGGAATCGAACCTGTGACCTTTCGATCAACAAGCTCAGCAGCTCAGTGCTTTAACCCACTGCGCCACCTAGCAGTTCAAAAACATGCAAATATGAGTAGAACAATATGTACCACTCTGACAGGAAGGTAACGGCACTCCATGCAGTCATATGACCTTGGAGGTGCCTATGGACAATGCTGGCTCTTCGGCTTAGAAATGGAGATGAGCACCAATCCCCAGAGTTGGACACGACTGGACTTAATGTCAGGGGGAAACCTTTACCTTTACCTTTAAGTTTTCTTTTTATTTTAAAGGGTTTGGGGGGGGGGGGTGGCCATGGCAGAATGGAAGTTACTATATTGTCATGGGGACAACACATAGAAAAGCCCATTCCCCCCCCCCCCGGGTGTATGGACTTTAACATGCTTTGGAGAGGGTTTACTTAAGCGTCCATGTGATTAGTCTGAAGATTTTTATATTGCTTATCTTTCTCTCTCCAAGAAAAACATTTGAGCAATTTATTTTTAATTTTAGTCAGATAAAATTCCATAGGATGTAGGGATAGAATAAAAGAAAATCAACATGGGGACATTATTTGCTATAGCTACTAAGAAAGTAGCACTGATTTTATTCACTCCATTATAATCTCCTACCTGCAGGGCCAGTTCCTGCAGTTTCATCTACCCACATCCAACAAAATATCACCCCTCTAGGAATTTTCTATGACCTCCAGGTAATAGTATGATATGCTTCTGCTAGAAGTTACTATAGAGTCATTCATTTCAACAGGGTTCACTAATATCCTAATGTGAAATGATGTCATAAGGAAAAGGAAGCAGACATGTTCTCTACTGCCCTTAAAGCTAGGACTTTGATTGTGCTTTCCTGCATGGCAGGGAGTTGGACTAGATGGCCCATGTGGTCTCTTCCAACTCTTATTATTCTATGATTCTATTAATATCCACAGTTTCCTGTTTCCACGGTATGTTCAGGAAGTATTCCATATGTATAAGAGGGTCTTACTGTATTTAATGATGTGTATATTTATCTAGATGCATTTGTAAAACTGTGTGTTTGATAAGCTCTATGGTACAAGTCAAAAGTGATGCAAAATCCCACCAATCTGAACAAAAACAGGTGTTAATTCAAGCATATCTTTCTTATCATGTTTATGGTTTCCACATGTTTTGTTTCTAAGAACAAATGTTGCTATACTGGTGACTGTTTTGACTTTGAAAGAGCATAGGCACATTCCTTCATGACTCAGCTATAGCTGTGAGGATCAAACTTCACCCCATCCAACACAAGCATTTCTCAGCTGCAGTCTCCACTAATCTCATCATTTTCTAATTGACAGAAAACAGGAGTAGCAGCAGACTAGTGGCCAATTATTTTCCTGTATTTGGATGCACAGGGACCAGCGTACACAGGAACCTCTAAGATTTCTTCATAGGTCCCTAAAGTTAATGTCCTTGGTGTTCATCCAGCTACATGAAAACATCTGGATGCTTGTCCCTAATCTCAACTGCTTCCCCTACTCTCAACCAGGGAGTGGAAATGGATGGATCCAGGTAGCTGCAACTAAGAAAAGATAGATTAAGGAATTCTGGAAGAAAACAAAAAAAAATTCTAGACAAGAACCAACCAAAAAAGTGCATTGCAATGGTGTCAAGTATACTTATGCCCTCATAATTTACCAACCACCACCATTTTTAAAAATATGCTTCATCCTAACCTTCCATGAGATAAGGATAGTCTGGATCCCATCCCATCATTGGCTATAGCTGGTAAACAACATGGAAATATGTGATGTTTGGAGATATTCCTTTATGTAATTGTGACAAATAATATAACGGGTATAAAGAAGGGTTTCCAATTTGCTTCATCTGCAAATACCAATCACATACTGAGAGGCAACTCTTGCCTCAGCGTTGTCAAATATTGTTTCTGCTCCAAAGACCATCATGTGCTTATCAGCCAGAAGCAAGATTTTGTTTACACTATGCATCCCTGCAGATATAAAAGTCAGAAGGGAAAAATAATATATTCAAATGGTTTATTCACAGAGAAATCAAGAATCAAAGAAAGGCCTACTGGTACAGAAGGAAACCATGGAGATCACAGATCGTGCTAGTATTCTTGTGCAGGCACTTGAAAATATGATAGATAATGTCCAGGGTAAGTGTGGGTGGGTTGGTGTGTGTGTGCATGAGTGTGCATATGTATCCATCCTAATAATCTGTATCAAGGGACCAATGAAGCTGCTATGAAGAAAAATAATCATAACCATATCCTAAACGGAGCTTTGGGGAGTTACAGTTCCCAGTATTCCCCAATTAGCACAGCAAATGGCCATACTAGCCGAAGGGTGTGGGGAGATGAGGTCCAAAGATTACCTTAAATGCTCATGTATACGTTGAAAGCAGGTTTTGGGGACCAAATTATGGATATGACTCATGGATAAATTGGGTATTATTCCACAGAGAGGGGAAAAAATCCATGCTGCCACATTGAGCGAGCTGTAATGGCCACTACTGCCATTTTTTTCATCCAGGCATTCACTATTCCACTCAGAAAAGGAGATGGTGTTTTATCCATGGATAAAAAACCTTCACTCTTATCTGAAAATGAACTTATCTGAGTAGACTGGTGAAAGCTTCATCTGTCCTGGGAGAACCTAAGAAAAAGAACCCTTCTACCATCTCAGCCACCAACACTGCTGTAATTTTCCTGCCCAAGCATTCAAAAAGCCTAGAAGTGGTACTGTGGTGAAGATAGTAGAAGGGTCAAAGCTTCTTTTAAGTTCTTCCAGGACAGACTAAGGACCTCTTCACACTGGATTTTGGGCCCTTTTTCTTGTTTTGAATGGGGCCTACCAATCATCATCAGATGACGCTGGTGTAGCACCACCCACATTCCTCCCACAGTGGAAGGGAAGCATCACAAGACGCTTCCTCTGCCACCTTGAGGAGGAAAGTGTTTTGTTGCCCTTTCCTCCATATGATGGAGAGAAGGGCAACACAGCAATGCACGTTGCCACCCTTTCACCCATATGATGGGGACAGGACACCAACAAGCCTTGTCCGATCCCCACCATATGATGGGAAAGGAGGGAGGGCACGCAGGGCACCGCAAGGCATCCCACACACTTGCCCTATTGCCAGCAACTGATGGCAAAATGACATGGCCCCAGGGGCCATGTCGGATGAAGAGGTCCTAAGCTCTCCTCTTTTGCCACTCTACTCAAGAGAATTGGGTGGTTCCTTGTTCAGATAAGAGTTAAGATACAATACTTACATTGGCCCAAGGGTAGGTCAACCCAGGTTTTCGGGATTGATTTTTTGACTGAAATTTCTACATAGAATAGATGATTACATAGAATAGCTTTCAAAACTATCTACACTTAACATATAAAATTGGAAGGGTCCTAACTAAAGCCCAAGTTTCCTACAAATACACAAACAATCATTCCCACTTGAATGAATGGAGAGCTCTATTATTAAATTGCTGGAGCATTTAGTGAATTTTTTTCAGATTACCACTTCCAGTTTATAATATTCTGAGACCAAAAAACCTGTTTCCTGACACTAACCAACAAACTATTAACAGAAAACTCATCGAATTGTATTTTGAGCACTTATTCTAACAGATTGTGCTCGACTGAGTAAGAGGTTCAGTTTTCTACTTTCCCAGTTTGTCATTGTAATATCAACCCATGTCAGTGGCCATATATCCCTGGCAAAAGTAAGTAAGCTTGGCCTTTTCCTCTCTCCTTTGTTTTTTCTCCGTCTATTTTGGAATAGTGGTGATCACCCCTGGGGTATTTCTATGCTGAGAGAAGGCAACTAGCCATACAGACTACACATATTGATCTCATAATAGCTCCTGCCAGCTGTGTGGATCAGAAAGGGATAAAGCTTCCTGTTTGTGTTGGAACAATGCATCAGCATCCTTTACAAGAGCAATTGGAACATGACTACAGTGAGGTATTGCAGGAAAGCTTCCTCTGTTGATGCCAAACAGCTGTGCACAAGAATTATGGGATGCATTACTTTTAAAAGGCAGAGGAAAATGTCTAAATCCTGTTCGACAACTTTAGCAGACCTAGACTCTAGAAATCATTATGTTCCTCAAAATGCACATTTGATGGCCCCATTGCATTTTGTTGTTATTGTGTGCCTTCAAATAATTTCCCTCCCCCTAAAATGAACATATTTGTGGGGTTTTCTTAGCAAGATTTGTTTGACGGGAGTTTGTCTTTGCCTTCCACTTAGAAAGAGAGAATGTGATATCCCCAAGGCCATCCACTCAGTTTCCATGGCTGTACAGGGAATCAAATCCTGGTCTTCCAAATCCTTATCCAACACTATACCATGCTGCCTCTCCCCATAGAATCATCTCATGAGAAAAAAAAGTAGCTAAAGTTAAGCCGCTCTAAACCTAGTCAACAGATTGATGAAAGAACACCCAAACATTTCATGCAAACTACACTGCATGCTGCTTCACGCATTAGGCTCCTGATAAGAGACATATCTATACATATAATAAAAGTCAAAGTTTGTATGCAGAGGACAAAAGTGTGGCGGTGTGGTGGGAGGAGTATGTGCCAGCGTTCTGATTGGTTGCCGCTGTGGTGCTATTTGCATATGGTCTCTGATTGGCCAGCTTCAATAGGAGCCCCTGGTGGAGAAAAGAGTCCATGACAGAAACGGGGATATGAGAAGGAAATTTGCATATGGTCTCTGATTGGCCAGCCACAATTCCAAGATTCCGAGATGACAAAGAGAGGAAAGGAAAAGGCCAGGGGGGGCTGGGTCAGAAAATTACCAATACAGACCAAACGTGGCACACAGAGCCCCCATGACCCACTTTACATCCTGGTATGGTTTGGCTGGGGATGGACCATGGATTATGGGACTTGCAGTACCTTTGCTCAATTCTTGAGACCATTGCAACCCTCATTCAATTACCGATAAAGACCAAACTTGGCTCACTGAGTCTCCATGACACACTCTACATCCTGGTGCATTTTGGAGGAGGATGAACCATGGATGATGGGACTTGCAGTACCATCACTCACATTCTGAGACCGCTGTTAACCTCATCCAATGACTGATCAGGACCAAACTTGGCACATAGACCTCTCATGTCCCACTTTATGTTCTGGTGTGGTTTGGCGGACCTTGGATTATGGGACTTGCAGTACCTTTGCTCAATTCTTGAGACCACTGCAACCCTCATCCATGGATGATGGGACTTCAAGTACCTCCACTCCCTTCCCAAGACTGCTGCAACCCTCATCTAATGTCTGATCAAGACCAAACTTGGCACACAGAGCCCCCATGACCCACTCTACATCCCGATGCTGTTTGGAGGAGGACAGATGATGGATGATGGGACTTCCAGTACCTTCACTCACTTCCTGAAACCACAGCGACACTTATCCAAATACCAAGAAAGACCAAACTTGGCATAGAGAGCCCCCATGGCCAACTCAACATTCTGGTGAGGTTTGGGGGAAAACAGACTATGCAGGATGGGACTTGCAGTTCCTAAACTCACTTTCTGAGACCACTGTGACCCTCATCCAATGATTGATCAAGAACAAAACTTGGCACACAGAGCCCCCATGACCCACTCTCCATCCTGGAGCAGTTTGGAGGAGGATGGACTACAGATGATGGGACTCACAGTACCTTCACTAACTTCCTGAGAGCCATATAAATAACTGCGAGCCATATAAATAACTGATAAAGACCAACTTTGATACACAATTCCTTTCTCAAATAACCCGGGCAGCGCCGGGTCCCCAAGCTAGTGAGTAATATAAGTAAGGCTGTGCTGAAAGTTTGTATATCTGAACAGACAATATGATATTAGAGTTTCAATATAATGTTTAACTGATAAAATACTACCTCTTCAAATACTTTGAATACTGAATATTTTCAGCCTATCTATTTTCTGACATTCCATATCTCTGGTGCTATTTTAAAAACCAACCCCTTTATCCTTCATCTTTACTATGTGATTCAAGCTATTACATATAACTATGTATAGCCAGGGCTGCAGTGACGCAGTGGGTTAAACCGCTGAGCTGCAGAACTTGCTGACCAAAAGGTTGGTGGTTCAAATCCGGGGAGCGGCATGAGCTCCTTTCGTTAGCCCCAGCTTCTGCCAACCTAGCAGTTCGAAAATATGCACATTTCAGTTGATCAACAGGTACCCCTTCGGTGGGAAGGTAACGGCGTTCCATGCAGTCATCTGATCTTGTTTAATTGCTCTGTTTCCATACTATTTCCTATGCTACTATACGTCTCTATCCACCTTATTGAACCACCCTATCCTTTAAACAGTTCGTATAGTACCCTCCTCCCCCCCTCCAAAATCAGTCTGCTGTTGCTTTTGATGTTTGTTTATTATTGTTTATGCTGTTTTATGCTATTTTATTTATTATTGTTCTGTTTCTAATTGTATGTTGCCTTGGGCTTGGCCCCATGTAAGCTACCCTGAGTCCCTTCAGGGAGATGGAGGCGGGGTAGAAAAATAAAGATATTCTTCTTCTTCATGCCAGCCACATCACCTTGGAGGTGTCTATGGATAACCTTGGCTCTTCGGCTTAGAAATGGAGATGAGCACCACCCCCCAGAGTCAGGCTTGACTAGGATTAATGTTCCTTTAACATGTTCCACCATTACACTGCCTTGTAGCCAATCAGATTTGGTGAAATCCAATTCAAACATGAAAGTAGCAATTCAATTCACATTCAGAATAGACCATCATTTTTGTCCTGTAACAAAAAAAAAAACACTAAAAGGGAATACAGTTGTCACAGCAAGCAAAAAAAAAAACCCTACTTTTTTCAGCTGACTTCTTGTTTTCCAAACACATATTTTCAGAATACTGTCAGAAAGACTGAAAGTGTTTCCCATTGGACTTTGTAATTTCAGAGGGAGAAGAAGAAAGCAACCACAATCCATAGCAAACCATATATTCCTCAGTGCATCATTTAATTGTGGTACAATTGTTGTTACCTACTAGGAGAATAAGTCTCATTGAAATATGTAGTGTTTCCAGGGTGCCATAGTTGCGCCCGTTGACTGCAAAAGTTTCTTTCTTTCCTGGAAACGTGCTATACAACTAGCAGCCAAAGACTCAAGGGACTGGCATAAAAACAATTTTTCCAGGCTCTGAAAAGAATTCATATAGAAGTTTGGGATGTCAGCAGAAAGTGCTATTAAAATTATGCAGAAAACAATCAATCAGCCATGATTCAACATAGCATATGTAGTACTTTGCTCTGTCACCTTGATTCATTGTTGCTCCATTGGCCTGTGGTTTGTTTGTCCACAGAAATCAACAGCAAGGTGGAATACTATGGGGTGGAGCATGATCTGAGGCCTGAAGATATCACCCAGAAGCTCAAGGTAGCAGAAGAGATGATGAAGGACATCAGAGCCCGCAAGCCATTCACCATTCAAATGCAACTTGCAGGCGAAGAATCTGAAGCAGCACAGGATTGTGAGTGCTCTTTTTGTCACAAAGACACAGTCTAGCATAAAAATGCAGAGAGTTTCATGTTGAAAAACACATACCCACAGACCTTTATGCTTGCCAACTATATTAAATATGTGGAAGCTAGATAAATATTCCCACGGCTGACATAAAACCAAAATTCTTCTTTTTTAAATTTTTCAGTTATCTATTTATGGATTGGATTGCTGTAAGTTTTCTGGGCTGTATGGCCATGTTCCAGGAGCATTCTCTCCTGACGTTTCACCCACATCTATGACAGACATCTTCAGAGGTTGAGGGGTCTGTTGGAAACAAAATAAGTTACCTAGTTTCCAACATACCCCTCAACCTCTGAGGATGCCTGCCATAGATGTGGGCAAAATGTCAGGAGAGAATGCTTCTGGCACATGGCCTTACAGCTCGGAAAACTCACAGCAACCCATTGATTCTGGCCATGAAAGCCTTCGACAACATATTTATGGATTATTTATTCTTTATATTACACTGACTTTATCTCAACAAGACACCCAAGGAAGCTTACAACATGACCTTTTTTGGAACTCCCATCCACAAGATTATTTCAACTATAAAATGCTTAACTCCGGCCACCAAAAATCAATCCTTGGTTGCTTATAGAAGCACAGAAGCCTATTACTTGTGGTGAGGGTGTATGATTGCCACTTCAAGAGACAAAAGAATCAAATCAACATTTAAGGAATTATTTCCATAAGAAGAAAATTGTGATTTTAAAAACCTGGTTGAAATTAAGTTTTCTTAGATTTTATGTCCTTAGTTATCATTTATGATAAGTAAGAGAGTCTAGTCTGGTAAAATAAGATTAGTTGCTTTCCTTTCAGATGAGATCCACCTAATATCCATCCTAACTAACCCTTCAGAAACACATATTATAGAGCAATTCCCCTCCCTCTGTTGCTGCCCCTGACCCCCAGATTCTCCTGTTGCCTCAAGCATTAATGGTTATTCTGTCTGGGCAGAATCTCTTTTGACCAAACTTCCTTTTGAAATTTTCCATAATTGGATTATCTTCTTTGCATAAAAAATCACAACCTATCAGAGCCTTCTGCAGACTCCATTCGTCAGCTCTTCCCTCCTTTCCCTTCCTAAATCTTCCAATATATCCAGTTCCCTCAGATACTTTTGTTGTTGTCATTTCCTCTGCTCTAAACAATGTCATTTCAGCTAAGTAAACTCAATCCTCAAAAACAGTCACCACTTATCTCCTCCAGTGCAGTGGTTCTCAATGTGTGGGTCCCCAGATGTTTTGACCTTCAACTCGCAGAAATCCTAACAGTTGATAAACTGGCTGGGATTTCTGAGAGTAGTAGGCCACAACACCTGGGGACCCACAAGTTGAGAACCACTGTCCTGGTATGACTTTGGACTTTCCTGGACCAAGGCATGGCCTGGTATCAAGAGTCAACTCATTCATGGAGATCCTTCTCAATGAGGATCTTTGTCAAAGAATATAAGATTTAATAGACTTACAAGTGAGACTATTCAAAATACAAAATCATCGCAAATCTCAACTGCTGGAGCTAAATATCTTAATATATAGGAGAGACAACTCTGCATTAAAAATCTCAGAGGAAGAAAATATCAGAAAGAAAGGAACTACAGATAAGAACTTGCAGTAAAGTGTGAGAAGATTTTTGCAATAAAATTTCAGAAGACGTGATGCTTCCTGATGTTGATGCTTGACCTCATAAGTTTTTTTTTTTCATTTGGCAAAGAAAGTGACAGTCTAAACCAGTCTGTCAGTGCCAGTGCTGAAGATGAACAGGAACGTCATAGCTTCAGTTCTGGGCAAAGCCAAGCTCAATGTTGTTAAAAGTGTTTTCACAATTTCAGGTGGCAAGCATATTGTCACTCTCATAATAGTCTTAGACACTCCCATAAAATGCATTTTGTGGTGCCAAGCTGAAATCACAAGCTGGAGTTCACTGCTCAGTAAAACCAAGGCAAACCTAACAAGGATTTTCACATTGTACCACACCCAAACAGATGGCCATTCAGATTTCTTCCAGAAGATGTCACCCTAAGACCTCATGGTCCAGAAAAAGAAAGGGTATCAGCCTATTGAAAAGAGGGGTTTGGCAGAAGCTTGATAAATGTGAGCAGCAACAGCCCATCATGAACCTTGGAATATTATAAACAGGGTGTAAGTAGGGAGCCTATAAAATGTTTTGATTGCTTAACTGTCGTAATAATAGGATGGAAGACAGCAAAGAGATCAAGGGGGAGAATGAAATAGAAACAGATAAGAGAAAGGGACAGATAGATATAAGAATGAGCTCATAAGAGTAATACAGAGGAGACATCAAATAGGGTTAGTTGGGGAATACTCCATACATCAGGAAATAACGCCCAACTGCTCACTGGAGGGAAGGATGAATTACTTTGGTCACATAATGAGAAGACAGAAAAGCTTGGAGAAGACAATGATGCTGGGGAAAAATGGAAGGAAAAAGGAAGAGGGGCTGACCAAGGGCAAGATGGAGGGATGGTATCCTTGAAGTGACTGGCTTGACTTTGAAGGAACTGGGGGTGGCCACAGCCAATAGGGAGCTCTGGTGTGGGCTGGTTCATGAGGTCATGAAGAGTCAGAAGCAACTGAACAAATAAACAACAAGAGAATGTTGCCAATTCTAATAATAAATCTTTGGCACTGTTTTCCTTTGAATCTATATCTGGGGGGTTCTTAATTTGAGGGATTATAGGAAAAAATCAGTCACAGAAATACAGATCTGAACTCAAATCTTTTGTTTGTCCGGTACTGTAACCACTTTGGGGCTCCCCAGTACCAAATCTTGTGAGTGTTTTTGCAAGGAAGTGATCTACAACATATATCAAGTGGCATCCAAATTTGGAAGTCAGAATTCTCTTCTTCCCTTCTACAGCAACCCAACCCTATATGTAACCCAGCTTCCTCCTGTGCCTCTTATGCAGCAGGTAGTGATCAGTGGAGAATAAACAATGACTGAGAAGTATCCAGCTATGTGACTATATCCAGACCTGACAACAGAGAAGGGATCTTCTAGGATGTCCAGGGACCCTCCAGATGTCCTGGAAGAAAACATCATCATTGTGCCTCTGACTATAGTCACACAGCCAAATGCTTCCAATCTCTTTCACAGCTGCTACATAGCTGTGAAAAGTGTTCTGAGGAAAAGGTGACTCCTGAGGGAATCAGGGGGCGTTTCATAGTTCTGGCATGGAGGAACTTTACATTACATCTTTCAGTGCAAGATATTGGCCATTTTTTATAATATGGAAAGATACATGGCAATCTGATTGTCCTGGAGCTTGTCTTCAGTTCATTTGCAAGTGAATTTGCAAAGCTTTATCATCTGTGTCTTCTCTTAGTGCTAAAACAAGTTGAACAGTGGCAGCAGAGACACAATGAAAGCAGATCTCTGATTCCTGACATACTGACCCAGCTTGCAGAGCACAACACCAAGCTCACAGACTTGCAAGAAACCCTGGGCCAAGCGGCGGATTTTATCCACAAAGTTGACACAATGAATAAGGAAAATATTGCAACACTTCAAGATTATGAGGTACCGCTCTACAGGATACTACTTTTAAAGTTCTGCATATTTTATTTCTTATGGTTTTAAAGTTTCATTGTAAACTACCCAGAGGACCTTAATTACTGAATGAAAGGGGTGCATGTATGCACATGTCATGTCTCTATATGTGCTCACTTTATCTTTTCATTAAACAATTCACTCAAATATTTATAAATCTAGCCTCTTTCAAAAAAATTCAAACAAGAGAATAATGTAAACATTGAAAATAATTCAAAACAATTTTTCAAACTAAAACAATTTTATAACTAAATGTATTTGAAATGCATTATGCTAATCCCAGCTCATGGGTTGCAGGCCACATAGCTTTTAGGCTACAAGTCATATGTAACCCCAAAGGACTTAAGCATGTCCCTCCTAATCTCTGCTATCACTATGTTCCTTCACATCCCAGTGGCATATAGTGTGTTTTTTTTTCTCCTGCTGCTACTAGTAATAAGGAGAGTGATTACTATAAAGATCACTGGTGGGTTGGGTGGTAGAAAAGATTTTTATTCATTTATTCAGGAAAAACTCATACAAATTGTGTTTCCCTTGCTAAGAAAGAGCAAAGTGTATCAAGAACACTGGTAAGGGCATGAAAATACAATAGAACTGCCCAGTTCCTCTTGCCAAGGAAAGCAGATAGCAGGTCTGTGTGTAGATTGCATGTGACCTTTGAATCTAAAAATGTGTGCATCCCTGCTTGACCCAAAATCCTAAAGATTAAGAGGAACTTACAAACGGGATTCTAGCTAGCTGTATAAAGTACTTGGACTCAACCATTTTAATAAAGGGAGCATGTTTGTACCATCTGAAAGCTGTTACACAAAAAAAATCCACCCATCTTAAGTACCTGCACATCTGCAAGATTTATTCGTAATTTTGAGAAGTAAACTTTGAAAGTAATTTTAAAATAAGAACATGTACAATGCACACAATTGAAAAAAAACATATAGAGTTGTCGTTTAATTTTTTTAGTACATTAGAAATGTGGCAATAATGAGGTAAACAATTAAAACTAATAATCATATTAGGAACACACATTAAAACTGCTTGAATTTCAGAGCCAGAAGAAAACAAGCTTTCACTCAACCTGATATAATGACCTCATAATATATGCCACTGGAATTGCCATGCATTGTGGTGAACACAGCAGTGCCCAGCAGTGGAAACCGTCACCCCACACCCCGCATCAACCGGCTTCCCCCCTACCTCATCCCACGGAGGGGAAGTGTTCGCCACCCAGCTTCCCCCATAGATCCCAATGTAACACGGAAAGCCTCCTATATTGCCATAGTGGCATACACTGGTTCCTCTTTAGAGTTGCAACGGAGCCCCGCTGGAAGTAGCTGTATGTTGTGGGATGGGAACAGGTGGGCTCCATCGCAAAACTAAAGAGGAACCAGCATTGCCACTGAAATTTACTCCATCTGATGAGGTTGTAAAACAAAGATTAGAAAATCAAGGTGGGATGGGGGAAAATAAATTAAATATGTGATGATATGTACTGAACAAGTTTGAATATTCCAGTCAAAGATCTTGATTTACTATAATAAGATTTTATTAATATTGAAGTTGTAGTTCAAACATGACCTTTCCAAGCTTTGGCTCCAGTCTACTCATTGTCTTTTAAATTTGTTTTTTCTATAGCCTTTTGGACACAGTTTATGTTATATTTATTGCATTGAGTCTTGTTTCAGAAAGATATGTATGGGAAACAGAGTAAAGGTCATAATTGTGTTTTATCAGGTTCTGTGTGGATCAAGAGAACCAACATAATAAGCCCCCAAAATACAGTGTTGTTTGAAATGTATCGAATGCTTTTAACAACTTGGTATTTGTTTCTTTTTTTCTCCTAGAAGCAACAAGAAAAATTGGAGGGACGGATTAACAGTGTCAACAATACTTTGTTAACAGCTGAAGATATTTTAAATGTACCCGTTCAAATCAACTTATATCTAAGTGAAGCAATCCAGGTAAATTCCTTGTGTAATGCATATTTCCCCACAGATCTAAACAGAATTAAATGTTACATGACTACCAACTTTAACCATAGTTAATGCTGGCCAGTATTGGCTAAGAGAAACTTGAATTAGCACTGACCGTATTTAATAACAATGGCAAGGCTTGACTTTATTGTAGTCTGCAGTTCTATACCTCCTTAGCTTTTCGTAAGTCCCATTGAATTTAGTGAAGCTTGCTGATTGGTTAGTTGATTGATTTTTATTCAATCTTTTTCTCCAGAAAATGGGACTAAGGTTTCTACAATATTGCATAAAAGTAAGGTGAAGGTAAAGGTTTCCCTTTGACATTGGTCATGGTCAACTCTGGTATGTGGTGCTCTTCTACATTTCTAAGCCAAAGAGCCAGCATTGTCCGTAGACACCTCCAAGGTCATGTGGCCAGCATGACTGCATGGAGCACTGTTATCTTCCTGCAGAAGCAGTACCTATTGATCTACTCACATTTGCATGTTTTCGAACTGCTAGGTTGGCAGAGGCTGGGGCTAACAGCGGGAGCTCACCCCACTCCCCGGATTCAAATCACCAAGCTTTCGGCCAGCATAAAAGTACAATTATAAATAAGATCAAATATTAAAACAGAATTAAAATAACCCCTAGTTTAAAAATTGAAATCACAATTTAAAAATGCATAGATAAGTACAATAAATGGCACCCATGTGGTAACCATCCGTTTCCCCACCAGCTGGCCAGATCTTGATCTCCAAAGCCTGACTGAATTTTAAAAGAAATCTTTGAAGGACAACAGGGTGGGAATCAGCCAAACTTTTCTTTAATAGATTTATTTGCTGGTTGCTCCCATGCAGGAATTGTGATTTTTGTTGTTGCATGAGGACTTATCCAAGATGCAGCATATATATGAGGGATGGAATTCAGCATCTTGGATACTCCTTAAAGGTTTAGAGTAAAGCCTGGAGTCATCACTGTGAAAGATGGACAGGCATGAAGTCCACCTGACAGATACAGGTCACAGCAAAGGTAAAGAGACACTGAAGAGTGGGAAGGAATGGAGATTCCCTGAATAAGCTTGATAACCAGAATTATGGAAAAACACATTTGCTTATTCAAACAAATGGGGCTGCTATTCCTCAGTATTTTCTATTGGAACAACCTAAATTGACATCAGTAGGGCCTAAAACAACTACCTCAGAGTGTAAGAATTCAACATAAGCAAAGTTAAAAATCGCCAAATGAGATTTAATTTATTGAAACCTTATGTGTAATAAAGTAGTTTTCAATAACATACACATTAAACTGATTATCTCATCCATTCAAGATCTAGATCTTAGATAGTCCATCTTTTTCTGGACTATACCACTTTAGACAGAAATAGCAGCCAACAAAATTGAATTCTCTTCCATACTAGCAAACATCATCTCTGAATATTGAAAACACAGATGGCAAGAAGCAGTATTCTAAGCAGTATTTTTTAAAGAGAAGCGTTTGCTCAAAATAAAACACTTTCATTATTTTATCTACTGATTCTTGGACTTGAATTAATTCCTAAAAACATTGTTTTTTAATATTTATTTTATTGTATTTGCTCCTCTTCTTTGGTCAGAATGCATCTGGATTCTATGCAGAAATAGATGGTGCTAAAATACAACTACAGGACAAAATTTCCAACCTCTCAAGATTCGACGATGACTTGGTGCAAAGGGCTATGGAGTATGCAGAGGAGCTTCATGTTCGTGCAAATGAGCTCGACAGGTAAAAAAAAACATATAGCAGACAATGTTCCATGTTTTAAAAATAGTGCCGTCTAACCAGTGAGAAGCAAGTTTAAGTTCCATTGATCTTAATGGGACAGAATTCAGGGTTATTTTGATTCTGCCACTGAAGTTAATTGGATTGAAAAATCTTCATATCGGTTTGTTGTTGCCAGTGATGATAACATCATACGTTCATGAGAAAGAAAATGGCCATCACAAAAATTACAATTTGTAGCATGTAAATGAACACTTTAGATCAGTGGTTCCCAACATGTGGTCCATGGACCACCAGTGGTCCGTAAGAAAAAAAATATGGTCCGCCGCCTCACCATTACTACACCGTTGCTCGAAACCATACAGCAATGAGAGCAACTGGTCTCTTGAAACCCTCTTATAGTGCTGAGGCAATGGGGATTTCAGGAGGGGAGAGGCTGACTATCCACGAAAAATTACTACTACCACATTAGCTCTAGATTACTAAATATGGTTTTTTGTGAGTGAGCAGATGGTGACTACTGGATGGCATATGTTCTGTATCAGAAACTAGAGCTGGTGTTCTATGCAATGCAGTTTTATGAATCAGCACCCCAAATAACCAAACTGAATCTAAAGTTGACCAAAAACTGATTCGTAACCCTTTTGATACTAATGTTGGAGGGTGGTCACTGGCCAAAGTGGCTCCTGTTCAAGTGGCCCTTCATCAAATGGTCCTTGGTAAAAAAAAAGGTTGGGAACCTCTGCTTTAGATTATCTCATAGGATCACAAGAGTAGTTCGAAGCTAAAAGTGGGTTAGAGAAATTGCATCCTACTACTATGCTTAGAAGAGGTTGAGAAGACAGTACTTTCAATAGCTTATACTCAGAAAATGGTTCCAGGAAAAGGTCCATACTGAAATTGAGGCTAGAACAGTAAAAACATGTTTATTCATTGTTTAGTGTTTCATGAAGCTTTTTTACATTGCATTAATATTTTCAAATTTACATTTTGATAAGTGACCATCAAAACTCTAACAAGTGCTGTTGGTTTTTAATCTTATAAGCTTTGCTGGAGTTGAATTTTGTGCATTCCAAAAATGTACAACAATACCTATGTCTATGTTACTTTATTCTGGCAATTAAATTTCTATCTTCGGTGGTATTCTGAACTCATTTTTTTTCTCTTTTTCTTTCTCTATCACAGGACCTTGCATGGTGTAGATACAAATGGTTTAGTTAAAAAAGCATTAAATGCTTCCAATGTTCATGAAAATATCATAAATTATGTTAATGAAGCCAATCAAATATCTATATTGGCATTAAACACTACAGAGCGAGTCAGTGATGTAAGTACCATTGCTATCCTAACCGATGCATTGTGATCCTTATGTGCTTTGGATAAGGCAACATTTTTATCTTCTTTAAAAAGACTTGGAATATCCTATACAATTCCCTTCCAAATGACAGATACTTTGGAGTTATATGCCAAAGTAATTACATTGTGCCTTCAAATGTTATATATATATATATGCAATAGTGCAGTAATGTCATATACAGGTTCCTCATCTCTGTCTTCTGTTTTCAGGGTGAGCTACATGTCTAATGTCTTCATGGCTGCTTTGGGTTTCTCAAAATAAAGTGGACTCACTGCTTAGCTGCTATGGGGAGCCCACATAATGCACTGTTGGATTTACAGCAGAACTGCTTTACTCTGGAGCTTCTAGTGTCCCATTGGCCCACATTAAGGACTGGACGCAGTGGTTCTGTTGCAAATTCAGTCATGCATTGTGTGGACTCCCTGCAGCATCTAAGCACTGAGTTTTATAGGATCCTGGAGTTTTTGAGGTGTGGATAGCTGGATCGGACTGGAGCTGGCCTAATCCACTGTCCATACTGCCAATGGACACAGAAATCAGTTCCCTGGAGAGGTGTACTGGTGATATCTGATTTCTGGTGATGTCACATCACAGCATCAAGCTATGTGTCCAAAAATGTGATGTCATCATCAAGCCTCTGCGAGGGATCTGCTTGCTGGCAGAAATACAGTGGTAACCTAGATATGCCCTCAGCCCAGGTAACCATGTGGATGGCCAAAGAACTCCCTGGATGCCCCCTTGCTGCACTGGAGCAGCTATGGAGCACTTTAACCCAGATTTATTCAAAAGTTATAGACACAATCAAGGCATTTATTTAACAGCTCTGGGCAACAGAATGGCAGACTCAGCCAATCTTTGATCTGTTCCTGCCAATCTATTGATGGGATGTGTATATTATAACTTCCTTATGATATACAAACTACTCCATGCATGCTGGATCATGTAAATCCCCACTGTGATGTCAGAAGGCAGCCTAAACCCATCTGAATGGCATGTCTCATTGTTATGCCATTAGTATGCCATATATCAAACATACTGCACCAAAGCCAAATCAGTTCTGCTGCAGTCTCCAAACTGTTCCAAGTTATTCTGAGTTTTGGAATAATTTTCTAGTATTTATTCAATATATAGCTATAGATATAGATATATGGATATATAGATATATATATATAATGTTTCCATATGTGAAAAATTACCATGGATTGAATCTAATCTTTTTGGATGCCCTTCCAAAAAGTAGGGCAGGAGTGATGTGCCTTGATGGCTGCTTTTGCTTTACAGTCTGCAAAGCCTTACTCCCATCCTCCCACCCTCCATCAGCCACGCTCCAGTTCTATTATGGAGAATCTCATCATATTTTAGAGGTGTATTTGGTGTACCTTCACCTATTCCTTCTCTTCTCCCCTTCTTTCAACCTCCACTGGATCAAATTCTCCTCTGTGAAACAAAGGTATCATGTGAAATAAAGGCTATGTGTTAAAAACCCATTGCATTTCTGTATACGAGCCAGCCATCTGTTTTGGCTGCAATCTCCATAAATAGTAACGAGGAATCACTTTTACACATAAGAACTGTTCAGACATAAAGACCTTCTGGATCTGTCTCATAAGAGATACAAGATTCAGCAATCTGTGCTTCCAGGTCGAGAGTTCAAAAGACACTATGCACCTAACTTCTCTTCCTTAACAGTTTATTCATAGAAATAAAAATATGTGCAGGAGTAGAAAACATGGAAGCGCAATAGGTGGAATTAAATGTTGCCTGGAATTCCCCTCAATAAAATTTTGTGAATAAGATAATAGCTCCTGTGATAAATGCTTTGTTAGGAGTATCTTCAAGTGACTACTTTTGTAAATTCTTTTTCTTTTTTTTCTTTTTTTAATAGTCTTCATTGAAATTTATAATTAAAACTAAAAAAAAAGAGAAAAAGATAATAAAAATGGAAGTGGAGACAAAGAGAGACAGAAGGAATAGTAGAGAGGAGGAAAGAGGAGGAGTAGAAGAAGAAGAGAGAAAGGGAAAAAAGAAAAAAAAAGAAAACTGTTAAAAATAGATATTGAATTTAAGATTCTCGACTTCCGGGTATCTTCCTGAGGTCTTTCCCTTTTCTTTTCTTTCTTTCTTTTTTTGTTGTTCTTCTTTTTATCATATTTCTCCCTCCCTTCTTTAATTTTTCATTTTCATTTTGTAAATTCTTTTTCTAACTCTCCTTTTTTCTAATGAATTTATAGGCTGTTGTTGGAATCGGCACCCAGATAATTTACCATAAAGAGGAAAGCAACAAACTTCTCAAGCAAGCAATAGAACAGGAACGAGCGTCATATGCTAGTAAATATAATCCTTTCCTTTGGTTCAGATGCTGTGCTACACCACATGCCCTATTTTCCCCAAAATAAGACCTACCCCCAAAAAAGACCTAACATAATTATATTTGAGGATGCTCAAAATATAAGCCGTATTTCAAAAACAAGCCCTAGATACAGGTTATTAAAAGATCAATTTGGAAAAATAAGACAGCCCCTGAAAACAAGCCCTAACATATCTTTTGGAGCATTGTTTATTTATTTATTTATTTTACAGTATTTATATACCACTTTTCTCACCCCTAGGGGGACTCAAAGTGGTTTACACAGATCATGGCAAAATTCAATGCCTTACAACTATAATAGTAAAACCACACATTAGACATAAATCATATTAAAAACAGTACATCACCAAGCATCAAAACAGTCATTAAAACTATAAAACAATCACATTAGTCGAGTCGCCGTTCCAGTCCTTGTCCCTCTAAAAAGCTGCATACATCTATTGTCCGAAGACCTAATCCCAGAACCTTGAGAGAGAGCCAATCTTACCTCCTTTGGGAGTGTGTTCCATAGGCGGGGGCCACAGCCGACAAGACCCTGCTCCTCGTCCCCACCAGCCGCATTTGTGCTATTGACGGGAGCGAGAGCAGGGTCTCCCCGGATGATCTTAAATTGCAATGTGTTCAGACAAGTAAGCTGGGCCAGAACCGTTTAGAGCTTTATAGGTCAAAACCAGCACTTTGAATTGGGCTGGTTTAATAATTAATTATTAAAATTAATTATTAATTATTAAAAAATAATAAAAGACCCTGTCTTATTTTTGGGAAAACAGGGTATGCAGAAAGAGAATACCATAAAAAAGAAAGATGTTGACATAACAGTATTAATTATCATCACCAAGAATTCTGGAGATCCAATTCTGGAATATTTTGAACCTGCCAGAAACTGTTCTAGTAAGCACATATTATTTTATGCATTCTATATCTTATCATTCTCTGAGGTCAACAAAGCAGCTAATATATATATATCCTGTTGCTTTGCCTTCAAATCATTTCCAACTTACAGAGGCCAGTAGGCAACCTTATTACAGGATTTTCTTGGCAAGGTTTGTTCAGAGGGGTTTTGCCTTTCTTTGAGGCTGAGTGTTATTTTCCCAAGGTCACAAGGTGAGTTTCCATTAGATATCCTATTATCAAGCCACATTTAAGATTTGCAGAGTTTGGTACTATTTTTACTAAAATATTGTTACTTTCCACCCAATGTTTTCCACATCTCTACTGTTTTACAATTGTAATGTCAACTATCATAAGTGTGTATCAGCTGTTCCTTTTCATTTTAAAAGAAAGGAAGCCCATCAGGAAAAATCCAGATCCCACTGGGAAGGATTAATTATTGTTGCCCAGGAGATAATTTAAGCTACAATATACAAATACATGTATTCCAATGGTGTTTACTTTAGAGTAGACTTGTATAAAATTGCACTGCAAGACATTTATTCTAGCAGAAAGACATTTAGTTTGTGTGCCATTGAGTATGCCCTAAATGAACAGAGTAATGCCTAGTGTCAGTTAAATATATAGCAGAGTAACCTTTCTGTGTGTTAACATCAAGACTAGATGCCATCTTTGTTATGGCATTACACAGTAATGAAAGTATTTCTTTTTTCTATTTTACAGATGATTTAGCTGCTGCAGACACAGAGCAACGTGTTAATGGAACTCTTGATAGGAAGAATTATCTTAAAGGCCATTTTATGAAAGCCATTGCAAAAATACAGACATCAGAGCAAGGTAGGTATATAAATACTGAACATTTTAATCTATTCATATTACATATCCTTTTAATGATTGTCAGGCAAGATCCAAGGGACCGGGGGAAGCCTATGTGATTGTTAATTTAGGATGCTTCCACACTACACTTAAATGCATGCCGAAGCTGGTTTTAAAAAAGCAACAAAACTTTATTTATATCCCGCCCCACCTCCGTGGAGACTCAGGGCAGCTCATAGACATAAAAAGGCAAATATTGAATGCCTTGTACTGTAATAAATAAGTTTTGTGTGTGTGTGTGTGTGTGTGTGTGTGTGTCAGGAGCGATTTGAGAAACTACGAGTCGCTTCTGGTGTAAAAGAATTGGCCGTCTGCAAGGACATTGTGCAGGGGACACCCAGATGTTTTATCATCCTGTGGGAGGTTTCCTGTGGGCATGAGAAGCTGGAGCTGACAGATGGGAGCTCACCCCGCTCCCCAGACTCAAAACGCTGACCTTTCGGTCAACATTCCTTCCAGCACCCATTGCACCACCGGGGCTCCTAATAAATAAGTAATAAAATATAATTTAAATAGTATAAAACTAGGCTGTTAGGAATTGTAGGAGTTGAAGTCCAAAACACCTATACTATGGACTGCATGTACATTTTCAAGGGCAGAAAGATACACCTCAAAATAAGTGGTGTTTCTTTGGGAACTACTAGGTCCACCCTTTTCTCCTGGTGATCCAGACTAGTTCACCATTTCTTATGATGGAGGCAGCCCAAAAGAAACAGGAGAAATGCCTTAAACGTTAGGCTAACTGAGTGTATAGAGAATCTCCTTTTACTGATTTTTAAGAATCATTATTCTGTTTATTTCCTAGACAATGCAAGACAGCGTTTGGAGCAGCTTAATGTCATTATTAATCAAACACTAAATACAGCTGCCACAGTGACCCAGACTACTGGTCCAATGGCCGATAATCTGACCAAATGGTCCCAAGACCTGAGGAATTTCAAACCTGAAAGAGCAGCTTTTGAACGTGTCACTGTCACAACAAGGGATACAGGTATATTGATGGGCATCCAGAATTCCCTATATTGTGTAAAAGAGATACTAAGCACCAGTACTTTGCTGGGACAGCATATGATTCTGTAAGAAATCAGAGGCAAATCATGAGATTCTAGGCCACCTCTATACTGCCATATAAAATCCAGATTATCTGCTTTGAACTGGATTATATGGCAGTATAGAGTCATATAATCCAGTTCAAAGCCAATCATGTAGATTATTTATTTTGATAATCTGGATTATATGGCAGTGTAGACACTGAGGTCTTAGAACAACAACTATAAATATAAATCGTAAACTACAATGGGAAAGTTTTTGAATATATATATATATATACACACACACACACACACATAATTGCATAACACTATTTTTAGGTGTAGTCAAGGTCTTTGAAAGTGAGATGTGTTGTTTTGTGCTTTCAAATTATTTCTGACTTATGGCAAACTTATCACAGGGTTTTTTTGTTCAGATGATGTTTGCCATTACCAGCCTTTCAGGCTGAGAACATGCAATTTGCTCAAGATAATAAATAGGTTTCAAGTGGAGATTGAAATCCTTGTCTGCCTGGAGTTCTAGTTTCATACTCAAACCATTATATCACAATGGCTCTATAACTGAAATGATTTCAGTAAAGTGATTGAAAACTTGTGTTATTTTTTAAAAGCATCACATTATTGATGCAGCTACCTTTCCTCTACTCCTTTGAAGTAACACATTCATTATAGGTAGCCCTAATTTGTGGAATGACTTGCTGGAAAAGATTCAACAGCTGGATACACTGTCTGAATTTAATTCACCAATACATATCTATGTCTCCTCAGAGGCCTATCACAAACCTTTTTAAATTATGGTGATTAAATATGTACTGGTTGTTTTAATATGTATTGAGTGTTCATGTTCTTTGAATTACCTGGGCTGTGTGTTTCAATTGATTGTATATGTTTTCACCACTAGTGAAGCAACTCACAGAAGTTGTCCCGCAGTTGCTCGATAAGCTGCGTACTGTAGAACAGAAACAGCCAGCCAACAATGTCTCAGCCAGCATCCAGAGGATCAGAGAGCTGATTGCACAGACAAGGAGTGTAGCAAACAAGGTAAAAGTGGTGGAGGAAAAACACTGATGACTTTATTTTGAGTCCCTGGTGGTCTGTGTTAAATTATACACTTTGAACTCTGAACATTAGCTGTAGTAAGCATTGGAGCTGCAGCTAACAGTGTGAATGCTCAATAGCTGTAACATTATATTAACACATCTCGCTATGGAATTTCTTAACTACAAATACATGGAATATATCAATCCATATCCAATGCCATTATACCTTTCTTGAAAACAAGAGGACATAGGCTGTGTCTACATTAGCCACTTAATCAAGGGCTAGGCCAGAGCACTATGCCCCAGATTTGCCGCAGACTGATCGTAATGGTGGCCACATATACTGGATTGAATTCTTTGTGACATCACTTTGTTGTCCAAATGGTCTAGCTGGGCCAAGCCTGCATCTTCCCTACTGGCCTATCCCCTTGTGTTCTTGTTGTCACCACTCCTCACTATCTAAGGAGCTCCCTGTGAGAGTGGCCATCGCAGTCATGTCTGCTGAGGTATAATAGGGTGCCTGTGTTGATCACATGGCTAGGTTCCCCATTCTGACCTCAGCAGACCCAACCGTGATGGTAAACCTATAACAGAAAGCTCCTTGGCCAGTAAGGAATGCTGGCAGCAACACAAGGATGACCCATCCCCTTCCCTGCACTGATCAGCACAGGAGAAGGGTGATAGCAGCAGTGTGCATGTAGACAATAGATTGGACCAAATAAAATTTGATCCAGCTATTCACATGGGCACAAACCTTAAGGACACTCTGGAGTTTCATGCAAACACCTGTGTATCCCTCAACTTTGCTTACTGTGGAGCAAGTTCAGATTAAGGGGCAAGAGGCCAGATCCTTGCCAGAAATAGTTGTGCATTTTGAAGACTTCTAGTGCTGGCTTTGGGGTATGTACAGGGCTTTTTTTTCTACTCTTGTACATGTCATAGTGTTGAGGACATCAGATAGAATAGATGGTTCTATTTTAGCAAATTCCCTAATGTATTAATTACCAAATGCTTTTACTGCCCTTGTTGCAGAATGGCACATTCAAATTTGTGAGTACATTTTGTGTTTTAGCCTATTTTTAATCATCTTTTTTTTCATAAGTGTATGACCCACCAAGTCAACACAAACCAGTTGCTATGTATTATGATGCTATATAAGTGAAGTTGTTCCTAGGGAATTTTACAAGAAAAAAACCTTCCTAATCTACACCTCTAAAGATAAACCTTTCCCTTTATGTATTTCAACCTCCAGGTTCAGGTTTCAATGTCATTTGAAGGTCAGTCAGCTGTTGAAGTCAATCCCCCAACAACCGCAGAAGACATAAAAGCTTTTACTTCTTTGTCTTTGTACATAATGCTTCACAAGGACAATCCAGATCAGGCAGCACCTCGGGATCAGTTCATTCTTTATCTAGGAAGCAAAAACGTAAGTTTAAAAAAATTAAAATTAAAAGTACTATTTAAAGTAATGGTGGTTTAAGAAATCATGCATTATCTGGATGACATAGAGGAACAATCCACTCACTCACGGCCAATCCACATGCCAATCAACAATGTAAGAGTTCTAAAGTTCAAAGTTCTTTGCTATCGTTTCATCTTTCTCTGACAGTTTTTAATTTTTCTGCTTTACCAGCCAGACATGTTCTCCTTTCACTCACACATTTAATAGCTTCCAGAAGTAGGAGTTAATGGAGGGGGTTCATAAAAAGGGAAAGGCAATAGTGAAAGTGAGAAAAGTAAAGTTGTTTTGCCTTCAGGATACATTGACTGAGGTTGCTTCCAGGCAACACTTAAACACACACCAAATCGGATTTAAGAACCCACTTAGGCATGCATTTAAGTCCACACACCTTTTGGAAGGGCATCAAGACACTCAACCCACCTCAAAGGCCTTAAAAATTAAGGTCCTGCCAGAGTCCTCCTGGTACATAAAAATGACATGCCAGGTGATAGGTGATTTTCCTCCTCCCCTCCCTCCTAGCGAATGATTTCTGTGTGGCAGGAGGACTGTAGTAGGACCTTTTTAAGGGCTTGGGGTGGGGGGAAGGTTGATGCCCTCTGGGTTTTCCAGGCTAATGCAGCCAGAAAAGCCTGAGACGGCTGCATGAATTGGTCCCGGGGATTGTGTAACATGGTTCCTGGACACAATCCACACCGTGTCCATACCTGGAAAGACCCAGAAATTATCAAAGATCTGGGTTTTACCAGGTATCAATTCGGGACAAAGCAAGTATCAAATTAATTCAGTTTTTGCCATTTGGACGCCTCCAGTAAAACTGCATGAGCTCCTGGGTTATGAGCCCTGTCTGGATGGGACCTTTTCAGATGGCCACTGCCCAGCAAGCCTCTAAAATGGCTTCGAGAATTGAAAAGAATATTTATTTCTGCTAGTTGGATCTACACTGAATCTACACTGCCAAATAATGCAATTTGAACTGCATTATACTGTCAATGTAGACCCATATAATTCGGTTCAAAGCAATTCAAACTGCATTATATAGGTCTAATAATTCAAACTGCATTATATAGGTCTACACTGACCATATCATGCAGTTCAAATTGCGTCATTTGGCAGTGTAAATCCAGCCCCTGAGGGGTTTCCCGCAGCACATTAGTCGCTGAAAAAGAAACCTTTTTAAACGATCACCTACAAGAAGAAGAGATAATGAAAAATGTAAAGAAACACAAAATAGCAATTAAAATAAAAAGCCAGAGTTACTGAGATGTGTAGAATCAGTTTGCCAGAGCTAGACAGCAAAGAAAATTCACAACGTTGCTTTGGGTTGGTATACTTAATTTGCAAGTTCTAAGACAGAGGGTCTAATTGACTCATGTTCAAGGACTAAGCAAGCAGCACAGGCAAAGCCAACCACTGTACAGCCTCAGAAAATTATTGATGAGTGAGTTGTCAGTGTATATATATGGAGAAAAACAGAACTGCCAGTGCTTCAGAAAAACAGCCTTGAATTGCAGCAATTTGAAAAGCAATATTGACAACAGTACCTTGCCAGAAGTCTCGAGATCACATTACAACAACCCAAACCAAATGACAGCATCAGAGTATCAATATGAATCAGCTAATTTGAAGAGCAGAGAGGCAATAAAGAAATTAAGTACTTGTTTAGCAATCCAAATTATGATGCAAATTAGTACCTTTCAAGCTTCAGGCAGCAGTACAATGCATTTAATGGATACAAATTTAATGAACTACCTTAATCAAATCAATCTAATGACTCTACTTCAAAGAATGATTTCCTCAAAATAAGTTCTCCAACTAATGATTTCCCCGGAACAATGGATTTAATTATATATGATTTTCAACAATTAATTGATTAATAGGAAATTTTATGTGAGGACACAGAAAAGTAGTTTCACCATGAGAAGGACAACCTAAAAGGAAAGGGGGGGGGGGTTGAGAAACAGTTTAGAGTAAGGAGATGCTCTTAACAATCTAGACATTTGAAAAACGGTCATTCAGATTCAGAACCAGAATTAAAATAAGATACAGGAATACAGAAAATACAGTAAGCCAAGTGTTAGGGATGCAGGACTCCTGTGAAGGTGGGAAACCAGGAAAATATCTATCTATCTATCTATCTATCTATCTATCTATCTATCTATCTATCTATCTATCTATCTATCTATGCCTGATGGAGTACCTCTCTAGGAATCTTGAGGTCCTCCACCACTGGAAATTGACCATAGAATCATGCTGGTGGACCTAGAGCACATTAATCAAATCCACAAGTAATCAGATCCTCAAAAGTTAAACCCACAAAGGTGGAGAGCCATCTATATCACAAAGTGGAACAAGTGACAGTGAAAACGAGAATTCTTCTGAGGATGTTTCTAATCGACTGAGATAAGTGATTGCAAAAAAAAGGGGAGGGATATTACTCACCTTAGCATTAGATCAAAATTGAGAAGCATCAAGAAATAAGAAAGTATATGAGAAACTCAAGCACTATGTTTACTTTAAGTGTTAAGATCATGAAAGGAAATGCGTACTGCCCTCACCAATATGTTAAGAGATTTTAAAGAGGTACCACTTTGTTAGCACCGTCAACTATACATAGGTTACCATCAAGGGGCCTAAATTTAGTATTTAATGTGCACTCTTTTTTGTAAATATTTTTTTTCAGAAATTACTGCACCCTTTGAACCAATAAAGACGGCATCACTAAGGTTACTCACCTTCATGGTGGTTTTCTTGGTCATGGTTGTCTCTACAGAATATGGAAATAAAGCTGATAGTGGCACGTTGGATTAAAGCATGTAGTTTCCACACTGATCATGCAAACATTTCTAGACCACAGAATGTATGGTCATATGGAGCACGTTCCATGACAGTGAACACAGCACATGTGGCGTCAGCATCTTTAGAAGATGTTTGGAATGCATCTAGGTTGAAGAAACTATCAATGTCTGCAAGATATTATAAGACTAATAAATATAAATCAACACAGGCAACCTTTGATTGGACTGTATTGCAGTCAGTGAGATAGATTTATCGCAGATACCATCATCTAGCAGTTGAGCACATCCCATGCCATCCAGAGAATAAGAGGTTGGTCCTTACCATGAAAGTTCATCCTTGGATGTCACATATTTGTCTTTACGCTTGCATTCATCCTCCAAACACTAAAACTTAGAAACTATCACAGGAAAGATGGCACATATTTCATTATAGCATAAAGGGGAAGGGTACAGTAGTGGTACAGTCTCAACTTTTTGTGATTTTATTGATCGTGAAGTGTTTCAGAATATACACTCTTTCTTTCCGAACCTTTGAAATAGAATACAAACAATTAAATTCAAAACTAAACTATTCTGTCATCTGAGTTCCCTTAGGGGGAGAAACGTGATATATAAATGTAGTAAATAAATAAATAAACCACATTTTCAATAATTACTTTTCAGATTTAACCTTTTAAAAGGTGATATGTTGACTGAATCATTATATGCACTTTGACATTATCTGAAAAGGAGCTGCAAAAACTGGAACTGTTTCAAATAGTGAGAGACTAATACTGCAGACTCACATGGAATGTATGGGCCCTTCCACACAGCCATATTACCCAGAATATAAAAGCGGATAATCCATAATATCTGCTTTTAACTGGATTATCCGAGTCCACACTGCCATATAATCCAGCTCAATGTGGATTTTATGCAGCTGTGTGAAAGGGGCCAGAGACAAATGCTCTTTTAAAAAAAGTTGAAAAAGGCAAGATGGAAACACACATATTTTTCAAGCACTTGAATCAATTTTAGAAGGACAGTCACAATATGCAATCAACATTAAAGTTGAGAGAGAAAAGAAGGAATGCTATGATGATGCCAGGCAGAAGTGGTGGACCTTTTTTGGGTTCCTCCTTCCCTTTCAAGATTGAGTCCTGTCTATGTCTCTTTCTCTTGCATTTTCTTTCAGTAATCAAGGCAGCTTCTGTATTGTTATGACTAACTGTTCAGACAGCATTAATTGTTTCTCCTGTATCTTGGAACCAAATGTGATCACCATATGATTTGTTCCTCCTCTAGACAAAAAATTATCTTGGTCTTGCAATTAAGACTGACAACCTGGTTTACATTTATAATTTGGGCAGTGGCGATGTGGAGATACCACTAGACTCCAAACCAGTCAGCTCTTGGCCTCCTTACTTCAGTCTTGTTAAAATTGAAAGGTAATGTGACTTTTATCAGCTACATTTCTTATCTAAATAGTTGGTTGAACATAATTCATAAATAAGAAATAATGTAAATTTGTTGAAATAAAACTGCAAAGTGATGGTTTAAATGTATTAATCATAATTTTAAACAAACAGAACAGACACCTTTCACTATCAATTATCATCAGTGTCAGTTGTTGCTTAAATATGATGGAACCATTTTCCTGATCACCATTATTCTGAAAGTTGGAAAATGCATGAAACATGAATATAACAATTTAACTTACTTATTCAAGGTCCCAGCATTATCTGAACACAATGTGCTGAAGTGGCAGATTTATAGCCATTGAGACCATCCTGTCACTGCCCTGCTTTCTCAGCTCATCCTGGTGCACCCAAAAACAGTCTCAGACAGTTCAAAGAAAAAGATTTCTTTATTCACAATTGTGAAGGCGTACGGTATCAGCTGTACCTCAGCTCAAAGTGAACACCGCCGCAGACAAAACATGTCCCAGAGGGTTTTTATATCTCCTTGTAAACATCTCAGCTCACAATTCCAGCCTAGGTCAAGTTTCCCCTATTTAGTCATATTATATAATCCTCTACTTTCATTGGCTTAAGCTCACCTCTGCATTCTACCAAAATAGGCACTACAAAAGATAAACAAAAAGACACAATAAGTGTTGCTCCTTCCCAAATGGGAGGGGGTAATCCTGCTTTTTCTAACTTTGGTTCCTTCAGTGCAAGGAACATGAGCTAACCCTTTTCTCCATATTTTAATCCTAATTAGCACCTCACCACTTATTCCCCAAAGATGCTCCTAGTTCCAGGGAGGGAAGCTTACATTGGCCCTGCAAAGTGTCCCTCATGGATCTGGTGTGGATTCCACATACAATGGGATATGATGCCCTAGAACAGGAATCCTCAAACTAAGGCCCGAGAGCTGAATACGGCCCTCCAGCCCAGCCCTCACTCAGGGTCGACCTAAGTCTGAAATGACTTGAAAGCACACAACAACAACAACAACAACAACAACAACAACAACAACAATCCTATTTCATCAGCCAAAAGCAGGCCCACACTTCCCACTGAAAAACTAATAAATTTATATTTGTTAAAATTGTTCTTCATTTTAATTATTGTGTTGATTTAAGTGTTTTTGCACTACAAATAAGATATGTGCAGTGTGCATATGTATTCATATTTTTTGAGAAACTGCAAGTCGCTTCTGGTGTGAGAGAATTGGCCATCTGCAAGGACATTGCCCAGGGGACGCCCAGATGTTTTGATGTGTTACTATCCTTGTGGGAGGCTTCTCTCATGTCCCCACATGAGGAGCTGGAGCTGATAGAGGGAGCTCATCCCTGCTCTCCCTGGATTCGAACTTGCGACCTGTCGGTCTGCAGTCCTGCCAGCACAGGGGTTTAACCCACTCCACCACCGGTGGCCTTAGTGGTTTGAGCATTAGACTAGATCACCAGGAGACCAGGGTTTAAATCCCTACTGAGCCATGGAAGCCCACTGGGTGACCTTGAGCAAGTCACTTTCTCAACCTTAAAGGAAAGTAAAGGCAAAGCTCTCTGAACAAATTTAGGGTTGCCAGAAGTTTTATTTTTTAATGACTTGAATCTGCACCACAAATATATGTATATATTCTTAGGAAAGTTACAGCTTCTAGAATCCCTAGCCAATTGGGGATAACGTGAGTCGTGCAGACTTTGGAACAGGCAAGTTTTCCAAACTCCAGAAATATTCAACTTGCAAGAGAAGAATTCTTTTTAAATCAGGCTCCATAGTTTTTTTTCATTTAGCCTTTATCTCCAGTTCCAGCTCTGTCAGTCCAGGCCTGGTCTAATCCAAATACTTGATCCAAGTCAAAACAAATTCCTCACATAATCCAGATTCAGAATTTCTCAGTTCATTTATTAATGCAGGATTACCTTGTCTACAAAATCCTTACTTGTCTGTTGAATGCACAAACACCCTGGAGATGTAAAGCTTACAATATAAACAATTCTAAAGAAAGGTTACTTTGGGCTATTCTGAAATTGTTTTCTACCTTTGAGAAATGACTCTGCATTTCAGAAGAACTAAAAAGATAAAGGATAATCTGTATTCCCTTCCTTGAAACAGCAGAATTACTCACTTTTTTCATTTTTTACTGGTGTATAATGTTTTTTTCTTGGAAATGGTTTAGCTACTGTTTCACATTTGATAATTCACCCAAGATATGACTGGTGGTTTCTTTATCGTTTCTTTTTTTTTTTTGTCCTGCCATTCTTCAACAGAATTGGGAAACATGGGAAAGTTTTTCTCACTGTACCAAGTCTCAGCAGCACAGCTGAAGAAAAATTCATCAAAAAAGGAGAGGTTCCTGGTGATGATTCACTGTTGGATCTGGAACCCAAAAATGCAGTTTTCTATGTTGGAGGAGTGCCTCCAGATTTTCAGGTAAGAAAAGTAATTGTTCCATACATGGCAAATCTCAGTCTGGATTTAAACATGTTTTAAGGAAAGCCATAAAACTAGCTTAAGTTTGGCTCTAGTTTGCAGCAATCAGATCCAAATTGAGGGTACATTGATAAAATTCATTGCAAGAGGTTTGGGTAATGGTAAAACCTTACCCCTGAATTCAAATCACATTGTTCATTACACAATGAGCAGGCAATGAATTCTGCTATCCACTGTAATATTAATCCTACATTGGATAGGAGCAAAGAGAAGCATGCCTTTGGACTTCATTTAGTCCACCTCTATATGTGATGTCGTCTATGAGACTGATGTAGGAGTCTGAGACTCAGTTTCAGCTTGATGCTAGCAAACTGGAAATTCCTGTTGCACAGTTCAATAGTTTTATATCCTTATGTAAATGACTGCACTATACAAAATGGTATTGAATACTACCCTTATGCTAATTCTAGAAAGGCACAACCACTGAGTGCAGTGGACCTTGTACTAACATAACAAGATAAGTTGACCAACGTGTTATAACAAGGAATAGGGTGCTTTCAGACATGAGGAAAACCCACACCAAAGCGAGTTTTAACCCCTCCCCCCCCCCCCCCCCCCCGCCCTTAAAATAAGTAAAACCTTGCAGGTTGCCATTATTCCTCTCAGGCAGGCCTCCTGGCATATAGAAATGACACACTAAGAGGTGAGGAGGGGGGGATTGAGTGATCCTGTTCCCTGCCTCCTGGTGCATCATCTCTATGCACCAAGAGGCCTACCGGAGAGGAGTAAGGGCTTTTGGGGGGTGGGGTTGGAGGAGGAGATGCCCTCATGCTTCTCTGGGCTCATGAGGCCTGAAGAAGCTAAATGGGGAGTGCGGACTGACCCCTGGGTAGACATGATACTCCCTGTGGGTGAATCCCCACAAGCCCCTTCTGCCATAAGATATGCTATCAAATTAATTCAGAGTCTCAAATTAATTTGGCACAAAGCAGGGTTTACCTGCTTTGTCCCAAATTAATTCTCTTTTACTGGAGGAATCGTTTGGATGCCTCTAGGAAAAGTCCGACAGAGCCCGCATTTTGGGTCCTGTCTGGAAGGGCCCATAGCAAGAATAATTATGGTTGATAAAGTAAGAGTCAAGTTGGAAGTGAACTGGAACAAAAAAGCTGTGTGGAAGAAAGACATTTTGAACAGAGATTCAAAGAAAGTGAAAACTGCTTGATAAAGAAGAAAACTCTTCCAATGATAGGAGCCTGGAGAAATTATAAAAGCAGACACCAAACTCACAGCAAGCATGTGAGAAAGAAGACAAGAATAATAAAAAGAAATGAAGAAAAGGGCATATGCTGGAATAGAGTAGCCATAGGGTATCAAGAGGGCCTCAAAGTAGTTTTCAAGTGATGAAGAAATTATCAAAACTTGAAAGGAAAATCACAATGGTTTGCACCTATGAGAGGATCACTGATATCATAGCCAAAGACAGTATCATCAAAGGAAAGTTAGCACAACACTCTAGTACAGATACATCTAACATTCAGAATTTGATTCTAATTCTTATTCCATCTTAATAGTTTCTTTTGGTTTCTTTTGTTTGCAGCTCCCACCAAGCTTGGACTTGCCTGGCTTTTCTGGATGCTTGGAACTTGCTACATTAAATGATGACGTCCTCAGTTTGTACAATTTCAAAAATATCTACAACATCACCAAATCTGTACCTTGTGCCAGGTAGAGTGGCCTGCACATATAATGTATGGTTAAAACACTTTTGTCTGCACTATAATCACTCCTGAAAATAGGTTCAAAGTAATTTGGGTGGTTGCATTTGACATAGCATAGCATGGTTGAAAGGCATATGATTTTATTTCACTTCTGTAAATTTATTATTCTCCTTCTAATAAGAGTGTATCTATTGGGTTGGGGGGGGTTGCACATGGACAACATGACAAGGATATTCATGTGTGCATTTGTTTATAAGTATTAAAATATGCAACTTTTTAATTATTGAAGCTGCTAGTAATAATTTTCACCCAAAATGTATACAAAAAGATAGTTTAACTAAGTGTCATTCCACACAGCCATTTAACTCAGAATATCAAGGCGGAATAACCCACAATATCTACTTTTAACTGGAATATCGGAGTCCACACTGGCATATATCCTAGTTCACAGCAGATAATGTGGAATTTTATCCAGCTGTGTGGAAGGGGCCTAATACATACAAATAAATCCGAAACAGTGTACTGCACCATAGCCTTACAGAAAATGTATGCATTCTTTTCAAATGCTGTCCAATATTGGATAATAAAATTGCTCCATCTAACTTATACTGTCTTTTCACTGAGATGCAATATTTATCTAGCGCATCAAATAGGGATCCCTATCAGGAGATAAAAGGGACGAAATATAGGACATTCTGCAAGAAAACACTAGCAGTCTACTACTAGTATCTTTGTAAAAATTCCCCTTTTTGTGGGTGCTTCATGGTTTCTTCTGCAGGCACCAAGTTGATCATTTAAGAGAGCCATTTTGCCTGTTTCCACCTTCCCAAGCCAGTCAGGGAAAAAGCACAGGAATGAAGACATGGATATGGAAGAAATTCAACAGCATTTGCACAGAAATTAATAGAACAAAATTCATGTAAACCACTTTCGCTAAATACTATAGATGTTGACATCTTAAGTATGCACCAGTGGCTTAGATCCTACTTTTAGTCCTGGCTAGAGTAAAGCCACTTAATTAATGGCATTTACTCGGTTGCTGTATGACCATATTCCAGAAGCATTATCTCCTGATATTTCGCCCACATCCTCTGAGGATGCCTGCCATAGATGTGGGTGAAACATCAGGAGAGAATGCTTCTGGAACATACAGCCATAAAGCCCAGAAAACTCACAGCAACCCAGTGATTCCAGCCATGGAAGCCTTTGACAATGGCATTTACCTCTGTGTTGAGTCACGACTCAACAATTGATTCAATGGTAGACATAATAAATGACTGTGTGTTTTCAAGCCAAATGCCTCAATTTCTTATCATCCCTTGCAGTGTTACTTGTTTAGTTATTTCTACAGCACAAAGCAAGTTTGCCTTCTGAATTAGCATTCAGATTTTTCTTTGTATCTTTTATTCCTGGTAGGGATAAGCTGGCCTTTACACAGAGCCGAGCTGTAAACTATTTCTTTGATGGCTCTGGCTATGCTTTGGTGAGGAACATTGAGAGAAGAGGGAAGTTTGGCCTAGTGACACGTTTTGATATAGAAGTTCGAACACCAACCGACAATGGACTTCTCCTCCTGATGGTTAATGGGGTAAGTGAAAAAAGAAAGGGAAATTCTTAATCTTCTGTTTTAATTAATAGGAGGTTTAAAGGCATAAAGTAAATTAAAATAAAAAGTATTTGCATTATGGTTCTGAGGAAAATGACCACTGGTTGTATACTTGAATATACTTGGGAGACCTCAATAAAATGATAAAACAGCTCAAGCATGCCCATCTCTACCTGGGCAAGGGAAATTCCAACCAGGGGCTGCATCTAGACTGCAGAAATAAAGCAGTCGGACACCACTGTAACAGCCATGCCTCAATGCTTTGGAATCCTGGGAATTCTAGTTTAGAGAGGCTCCAGTACTCCTTGACAAAGAAGGCTAAAGGCCTTGCAAAACTTCATTCCATGATTCCATAACATTGAGCCATGGAAGTTAAAGTGGTGTCAAACAACATTAATTCTACAGTGTAGATGCACTCAGGGTTACTACTATTAGAGTGAACCCAGGGTTACTACTATAATAAGTTTATTTTTACTTTTTTTTGTACCCCACCTTCATTTCCCTGAAGGGACTCGGGGAAGCTTATATATGGCACAATGTACTTAGAACAACGCATAATTTTATTTATTTATTTGTAGTGTTAGGAACGACTTGAAGAACTGCAAGTCGCTTCTGGTGTGAGAGAATTGGCCATCTGCAGGAACATTGCCCAGGGGACACCCGGATGTTTTGGTGTTTTACCACCCTTGTGGGAGACTTCTCTCATGTCCCCACATGGAGAGCTGGAGCTGATAGAGGGCGTTCATCCGCACTCTTCCCAGATTCGAACCTCCGACCTGTCGGTCTTCAGTCCCGCCGGCACAAGGATTTAACCCACTGCGCCACCGGGGGCTCCTAACACATAAAATGAACACACAGTACAATAAAAGATAAAACCACTAGCATATAAAACAACAATTTAAATTCAAAACGGTGCCCAATAACCTATGGTGAGAACTGTCGTAAAACATGGCCAATTGTAACCAGGAACAAGGGAATAGGATAGTGCAAGTTGTAGCTCATGAACTAGGGCATGGGACGAAAGTGCCATGTCATTAATTGAGGACCATTGGAGTTAGACATTCTCAGAGACTTGGCCAAATATCCAAGTCTTCAATTCCTTCCGGAAGGAAGAAAGTGTGGGGGCCTGCCTAATCTCCCTGGGAAGGGTGTTCCAAAATACTGTTAGATATCAGTGATGAACATTTTGCTTATCATCTGATAAGTTGAACTCTGCAGCTTGAAACCACCACTACTACCACAAGAAAGCTTTTATTAGGCCATCACCTCTCTAGGTTGTGTCTCAATTGTCCAGGATGTCTTCTTGCTTCAACTCCCATATATAAAAACAGGATATCACATTCTAGTATCAGGCCTAGCACAATTAAAATTTTAAAATCCACAGCAAATGGCATCACCAGCAGCAGCAGCAGCACAGCTTCCCATGCTTATATTTCTTTAAGTGTAGTATCAACGTGAGAGCCATTGTGATGCATTTGGTTGGACTATTATTCCAGGAGACCAGGGTTCAGCCAATGAAACCTACTGAGTGACCTTAGGCAAATCATATTCTCAACCTCAGAAGGAAAAGGGTTTAACAAACCTTGCCAAGAAATCTCCGTGATATCGTTGCCCTAGGGCTGCCGTTAGTCAAAATGATTTGAAAGGCACACAGCAACAACATCATCACTATGCTTATTTGGGCTAGCATATCTTTTAGATTACACCTTTTTTTCCCTCCATATAAGGTATTCAGGTGGAAATTATTCTGAAAGAGTGAGTTTTTAATTGTTTCGTCCATTGAATTTTAATCTTGCAAAATGGTGCAATTGTCTTCTGGGCCTGTTGAGATTGCTCACCCTTGTTTAAGAACAAAAACAGACAATGGGTTGTACAAGGGCAAGCCACTGCACAGATGTTAAGAAACTAGTTTCCTTCCTCATAGCTCACATCCATCCCCTACAGCACCTAAACATACTTCTTCTTCATATTTAACCCAGGCAAAACTGTGGCTGGAAGTGGTGTTGCCTTATTTTTAGTCATCATTTTAGCCAGGATTTGACTGAGAGAAATTTAGGATGTTGCTACATTAAATGATGTCCTCAGTTTGTACAATTTCAAAAATATCTACAACATCACCAGATCTGTACCTTGTGCCAGGTAGAGTGACCTGCATATATAATGTATGCTTAAAACAATTTTGTCTGCACTATAATCACGCTTGAAAATAAGTGCAAAGTATCTTGACGTATCAAAGCTTGTGCTTGTCTACTTGTGTTTCTCTTCTACCTTGAAATGTTATACTGACAATCAATAGCTTAATTTACTTTCAAACAGTTAATGAAAGGTTATAACTAATTGTAAAAGTTCTAAAACACTGATTGATTTAATTGAAGATATTTGTGTTTCACCTTTAAAGGAAAAATCATCTCATGGCAGCTTGAAAAACTAGTCTAAACAAAAATCACAGTAATGAAGTAAAAACCAATAAAGCCCCAAGGGCTCTTAATAGTGGAGGGAGATTAAAGGATGCCACAACATTTCTTGCATTTCCATTGTAGATTGAGCCATAGAAGCTAGCATCACTTAGAGCTCTCAGTGGTGTCTTTGAGACATCCATGGTATTGTGTTATTCCTTTTCCTGCCTCTCTGTGCCATTCTACACATGCTGTAAAACATAGAAGTCACTCGATTAAAAGAGCGGGTGGCTAAATGTCATTTAGTGTAGGAGGGATCAAGTGAAGAAATAAAAAATACATGTTAAAAAGAGGTGCTTATAACCTGATTCAGCCTGAAAAAGTGCATCTTTGCATGACTGTATATCCCTGCAATTAGGCAAAACACATGCTTTCCTTCCCCTTCCCCCTTATAGACTGTCCCAGCACACATTTACATTCCCTTCATTATGCACTAGATTTTATATGCGCACATGCGAATTTGCTAGTGTTCATATTAAGATATTCGCATGTGCATATATATGATCCAGAGCATAACAGAGTGAATTTTTTAAAATAAGACTTCAGCTGGATGTCCCCCATCCACCCTTTATCTTGATTAGCTACAGAGGAGTGCTGTGAGGACGGCGGGAGACCATAACCCAGGACTGACAGGTCTCTATATGGACCTGCTGTCAGGTCCCGGGATTTTTTGACTCAGTTCTAAAACACGGATTTTGGCACTGTGTGGAAGCACCATCAGAGAAACTCCAAGATCTTGATGCAACTCCATGTAACCCAGTGCTCAGTGCTGAGCCCTCATTGTGATAGGACTTGTTGGCTGAATCAGAATCATATTGGGGAGGGAGATCAGGGAAAAATTAAATGTATAAATTTCAAAATGTTTTAACATAGGCTTCTAGTACTATCTCAGTTCTACAATCCAGTAGACCTATCTTTTTAATAGTATGTCAAGGGCTCTTCTAAAACTTGTCATGACAAGACCTTACACAAACCACCTTGTGTTTTGCATCAAACCAAATCAATTCTTGAAAATCTCACCATTATTTTATGTTTTGCAGACTATGTTCTTCAGCCTAGAAATGCAAAATGGATACTTATATCTGCAGTATGATTTTGGCTTCAGTAATGGTCCTGTAATTCTAGAGGATTCTACAAAGAGAGCTCTGATCAATGATGCAAAATTCCATGAGGTATATATTGGTACATTGTTACGAAGTTATGTCTTTTTTTTAACCTGGATATAAAAAAGCAGGATATAAATTGCGGGATATAAAAAGCAGGATATAAATTGAAAAGATAAATGATTCAGCACACAGATTTAATATTAAGAAGACACATTATATTAATTCAGCCATAATAGTCCTATTTTCCAGTCTTGTATTATCCCTGATATTGGCGACAAGTAGCAACAAACAGGGATGCTTGCAATGAAACCATCCCTGTCTGTTGCTATACTGAAGGAAAAAAATAAGTTTTGATTTGCAGTGATCAATAGTAATAATAATAATATTAGTAGTAATAGTTTGCAGTACTCATTTTTAAAATGAAATGTTAGAATAATGCAACATATTTGTTTAATAGTTTTATAGCTTTTAATTAAGTATTTATAATATTTCTATGTTTATCTCTAATTCAATGGTTGTATGTGTGTTTTTTGTTTTTTAATTATATATTGTATTGCTTTTATTGTTAACTACTTTTGGTCTCTTTTTTGAGAAATAAATGGGGTAGAAATTATTATTATTATTATTATTATTATTTCTAGAACATTCTTGTTTTTAAACTAAAAATAATTAAGGATTAGCAGATTCTCTACAGCTTTGTCATTCATCTATTTAATCATTGTTTTATGGGTTTGTTTTGTCCTGAATTCTATTCTATTTGCCTTCTAGCTTAACTTGGAAATTTTCTAAAAGTGAATTTAATTTTTTTCCATGGGTGCATGTGACCTTGGGCAAGTCATGCTCTCCTAGCCTCAGAGAGAAAGCAAACAAATCTTCCAAAAAAAAACAACACAAACTTGTGATAGGGTTGCCATCAATCAAAAATGACTTGAAGACACAGAATAACAATATGCATGGGTTGAGAGAGTCTTTACAAATATGTACCATCATATTTTCAGATCAAATTTCAAATGCAGAATCTATATTTTACTCCTGCTTATATCACAAGTATAAAGGCCCCTTCACATTCCACCAGACAGCCCCATCTCCCTCCCTTATTTGGCCCTCAGTGGTGATTGCAACAACTGTGGTGATGTTGTATGAAACTAAGCTTTGGAGGTTTCTTCCCCAGCTCGAGGAACATTAGTTTTCAAGGAGCCATGGAACATATGATGTATACCCATCTGGACCAGACACGGAATCAAATCTTTATCCATCTATCTATTTACCGTATATGCTCGAGTATAAGCCGAGTTTTTCAGCCTCTTTTTTGGGCTGAAAAAAAACCTCCCTTGGCCTATACTTATACATATCTATTTTTATTGTGAAATTTACCAGTAGCTGCTGCATTTCCCACCCTTGGCTTATACTCAAGTCAATACGTTTTCCTAGGGTTTTTTTGTGGTAAAATTAGGTGCCTCTGTTTATATTTGGCTCAGCTTATACTCGAGTATATACAGTATCTTTTTTTTTCTTTCTTTTTTGGATGGAAGGGAAGAAAAGTGTTTTTGGTAGTACACTTCACTATAGTGAAATATGTGTGCTAAGGAGCCTCTAATAATGGACTAGAATTTATGGTTGCATCCAAGTACAGATATCTTTATTTCAGATCTTTCCTTTATATTACTTTTTCCCCTTAAAACAATCCTTAAGATCAGTGACAAAGTGTCCTCAGAGACTGAGGTTTTCTGACACCAGTCTACAATTACATTGTACATGTACCATTTACAAGTGCAATTACACTGTTTTAAAATACCACTATGCTTTTGTTTATATACCACTGTATATATACCGTTGTAAATTCTGGCTTCTAAATTGTCTTTTTTTCCATTTCAGATATCTGTTATATACCATAATTCCAAGAAAATGATCTTGGTAGTGGACAGGAGACACATAAAAAGCATGGAAAATGAAAAGAAAAGCATGCCATTTACTGATGTCTATATAGGAGGGGCCCCCGTTGAGGTTTTAAAATCTAGGTTGGCTTATAATCACAATATAGTCACTATTAATGCTATTTCTTCATGGGTAAAGTGAGATCAGTTTACTACTTCCATTATCTATAGCAGTGTTTCTCAAACTCTACTCTCCAGATGTTTTGGACTTCAGCTCCCAGAATTACTAACAGCTGGCAAGCTGGTTGGGATTTCTGAAAGCTGAACTCCAAAACACCTAGTGGAACAGAGTTTGAGAAACACTGCTCTATAGGAATAATTAAAAACCATAGTCATATTCCTACCTTTAAAACATTCTTTCTCAGATTTTTTTATCCTAAATTAACACTTCAGAGGATGCTCACACTCCTGCTTTCAAATTATTATATTTACAACTCCAAACATTGTTTCTTTTTTCCAATCACAATCTCTGGCAGAAACCTAAGGTCCTAGGACCCTTCCGCACAGCCATATAACACAGAATATCAAGGCACAAAATCCCAAAATATCTGCTTTGAACTGGGTTATTCGAGTCCACGCTGCCATATATTCCAGTTCAAAGCAGAAAGTGTGGGATTTTATTCAGCTGTGTGGAAGGGGCCCTAGAGAGACCTGGTTGAGAAACAGTTGTTTTAATAGACCAGTTTGTGCAAAATAGAGGCTGCAACTAACTTTTTGTGACAGTTTATGAGTCTGTACAATACTCGTAAGCACTCTACATACATATGTAAGTTTCTTTCAGCTCTTGTCAGAGTGCTTACGGAGAGAAAAAGCACTTTACAACTTGAAACAGGACTGGCCTGCTATTAGGTTGAGCAAGGGTACGCTATATTGGTTATGGCTGCAAGAAATTGCAGCCCAACATCTGGAGGGCCACCCTGAGCCCAACCCTGAAGTAGAGTGTGGCAGTCGGTTTAGGGTATACAAGGCAAAAGTGGACAAGCATGCCATGCCGGCAACATTCAAGAGATAGTTAGGGTATCTAGAGTATGAAATAAATGAAATAACTAATAATGTGTAGCTTTTTCATGACACATAATGCCACTGCTGCATTTCACACGACCTAGTAAGATAGACATTCCTCATTTTCCCCCTGAATCCTTGTTTGCTGCTGTTCTGTGCACTGTTTATACTTACTGTTATGCTTATGAGTGTTTCTAGTATCAGGTCATCCGCTACCCTCTTCATCCTAAACAAATGTTATGTCTTTACAGTGGTGTCAGTTCCCACTTGGCTGTCAGTACTGGCTTTAGGGGCTGCATGAAAGGTTTCCAGTTCCAAAAGAAGGACTTCAACTTGTTGGAAGAGCCAGGAACTCTGGGAATTGGTTATGGCTGCCCAGAAGAATCACTTGTAAGTACTGTATTGTTCTTAAACCACAAATACATCTTCTGTTTATTGCTTTTTAATCTCCTAGAAATATATTTTCTGGCATGCTCCCGATAGATGCTAGGTTATTTCTCCATTTTTGTGCTAAATCTAAGTAATAAATAAAACTAGGAGTTTGGAGTTGTTTTGCTTTTCTGTCACTTTAGAGAACAGAAAATGGTAGCTTCCTCAGAAAGATTCTTTCCCTCTATAAATATTGTTCACTTTCTTTAAGAACTAGTACAGTAGACTCTCGGTGAATCAGCACCCATGGGGATTGGTAGATGCCAGATAAACGTATATTTATTGGTACCATGTAATACGTCTACAGTTTTTTTCCTCACTTTACTTTCTTATATCTCCTCTATCCCTTCACCACACAAATAGAATTACTGGGGCACAAAGAGCAGAGGCTCTGCTTTCAAAAATGGAAATGAACACTGACAGCAACTGTTATCCCCAGCTGTTAATTGTCTCTTGTGAATCCGTTAGAATATTCAGCTTCTATAACATTGCATGAAATAAAAACAGTAGTTATTTATTTATTTACCATACCTGTATATTTCCCTTCTCAACCCCAAAGGGGACCCAGGGCAGCCTTATAAAGGCAACAATTAGATGCTGCATGTACACATACATCGATGAATAAACAAAAACATTAAAAACCAATAAATTAAAACATAATATTAAAACAACAATTAAAATCACATAATCCAGGTCATATTCCAGGACCAGTCTGAGTCATTATTATGTTAGTTTATAGTCTCTTATTGGACTGCTCCCTTTATTGTCCAAAAACCTGATCCTAGAGCCATGTTTTTAGTTTTTTCCTGAAGGCCAGGAGGGAGGGGGCTGGTTTACTTTCACTGGGGAGGGTTAGAGAAGGAGTTCCATAGACAAGGGGCCACCACTGAGAAGGCAATGTCTCCTGTCCCCACCAGTTGCACTTGCGAGGGGGGTGGGACTGAGAGCAGGGCCTCCCCTGATTATCATAGCCTCTGAGGTGGCTCAGAGAGGGTGATACATTCAGACAGGTAAGCTGGGCCAGAACCATTTACAATAACATTTCTTTTGTGAATGCAGGCATGCCAACTCCCTGCTACAGGTTGTCATTTTCTCCTTCTACTAAATCAGTAGGAGATTTGAATGTTAAGGCATTTGATTGGAAAATCAGTGTTAATTTCTGTCTTACATAGATTAATATGGGGTCCCTATGCCCATGGGGGCCCCGGTCCACTTCCCAACATGTCCACTCATTAAGACAACATTGACAGTTAATCAACGCAACAGCAAATGCTGCATAGGCCAGAAGAAAGGAAAGTCCAGAATTCCTACAATATGGGGCAGAGGGGCATTTTACAGTATTTCCTGTATCCTGCAGTCCCTAACACAATAGACTTTCTACTTCCAGCCTCTGAGAGAATTTTACACCTTATCCAATTTGTATACAAAAATTGGGATTGAATGTTATGTGTGAGTATGATTGTATGATTGTTTCACCCATAGTACTACTCTCAACATCTGTCTGTATATTCAGTATGTCACTATAAAGCTACAAAGCTGAACAGAGTTGCCCTAAGTATCAGTTTGGTTGTGGAGATTGTGTTAATAATGCTTAAAAATACACACACAACATGCCTGTCCCACAGTACCTTTTAGCATTCACAACACTAAACACAGGGATTGTTAGACTTTCTGGATTATAACTGCCTGAGCCCTGTGCATTCTCTCCTTGCATTTACTTTCTTGTTATTTTTATCGATATCTGTATATCATTTTCCTTTTTTGAACAGATGTCCCGCAAAGCATATTTCAATGGAGAAAGCTACATTGCATCAAGCCAGAAAATCGCCTTTCATTCATTTGAAGGGGGCTTTAATTTCCGAACTTTACAGCCAAATGGATTGCTGTTCTATTCTACTGAAGGAGTAAATATGTTTTTCTCATTTTAGAAAACTTGTTTATTTTAAAACAGTGTGGGATAAATACACAAATAGATATGTATTTAATTAGATTTGGAAGTTTGGTGAATTGCTAATGTCTTGGAAACGTGCTATGGTAGTTGCTATACGTAAGCCTGAAAAGCTTTGGTTTCTATTTTCTTTTCAAAAGCCAGGAGTGGGAAAAGTGTATTGCCTCAGCTTTTGTGCTGTTACTTCTCAGTCTGAGATAGGCTTGCATATATGCAAGATTTGGAGGGGAAAGTCCTTTAGTGTATTATGTTATGTTCCTCATGTTACAACATGCCTGAATGCCATATTTGTTGCAAGATAAAGCATAGTTGTGGTTACAGCCCCATGTGGATTTGAAATATATATTGCAAGTGTCATGATATATGAATCTGTTGAGTCTCAAAACAGCTCTCTTGGGTATTCATCACCTAAATGGGATAACTAGGATTTTCAGAAAGATCAAAATGTACACAGAAATGGAATTTTCTCCTACATTTTGAATTCAGAGTTTAATATGTGAAAAGTCCAATTATCAGGTGGAGGTTCACATTGTGATGACCAAACTGACAGCTATAATGTTAGCATTAGAATGAGTACAGAATGATAGGACAGAACTGTTGGGAGTTTTATTTGTTATTTACTTAATAGTGTTGGCATTTCAAAAGGGGGGGGTATGGAGTACGAGGTTTGTTTCAGTGTCAGGTTTAGGAGATGTGAGTGAGATATGTGGTATTGCTATTTTGTGCCTTATCAATATTGAGCTGCTTTTGATACCTAAGGAAACGTCTCTTCCAAGGCCAAGAGTGCATACAGCATGGAGATTTTCAGCAAGAGGAAATAATTCACTCCATTTTCCACAATACAAACCCCATATGATTTACATTTAAATCAATATTAAAGATGCAGTGATGATTATTTGTATGCTGCCTTTCTCCCAAACTGGAGGTCAAGGCAGCTCCCAAAAACCAGTGTAGACTTGCTACATAGGCAAATGCTTCTTTTTGGCTATCACTCAATAAACTTACTTGGCTCATTACAAAATGGCCAAAGCTATTGCAAGAATTTTCACTAGAGACTATTCCAGTGCCATTTAATATATTATTGTTTTTACTGATACAAAACACAGTATGACACAGATAACAAGGTATATATGCTGGATTACGTATCACATCAAGCACTTCCCAAGCGTTTAGGACTGTGTGATATATTTTCAAATGATGTGGATGTGCACAGATCCAAGTAAGGTGGCCTTTTGCAGATCATGATTTTATCAATGTTTATTGTTTCCAAATACCGGCTGAGATCTTTTAGCACGGCACCCAGTGTGCCGATTACCACTAGGACCAGCTGTACTAGTTTTTGGCACAGCCTTTGTAGTTCGATTTTGAGGTCTTGATAACGGCTGAGTTTTTCTTGTTGTTTTTTGTCAATTTGACTCTCACCGGGTATGGTGACATCAATAATCCAAACTTTTTTTCTTTTCCACAATCATGATGTCTGTTGTATTGTGTTCCAAAACTTTGCCACTCTGGATTCAAAATTTATTATTATTATTATTATTATTATTATTATTATTATTATTATTATTATTATATAGTATATAATAACTTATTATTATTATTATTATTATTATTATTATTATTGCCCCACTTTATCTCTCCTGCAGGAGACTTAAAGTGGCTATATGGTTTTTTTTATGTTTCAGTCAGATGAGTTCTCCATTTCCATGGATAAGGGAGCTGTTGTTTTAAATGCACAAGGTGTCAAAGTTCAAACAGCAGACAGATCCTATAATGATGGAAAATCCCACTTTGTCATTACATATGTCTCACGAGAAAGGTAAATCTGTCCAATATTTAAATTCTAATGCATTTGTAGTTCACTATTTAGCTTGGGATACCAAACACCATACTGTTTCCAGAGCCAATATGGAAACATATTGGTAAAATAGTAAAAACACATTATCTCAGCCAGATGTATAGATCTACCATATAAAGATGTGTGTATAGAGTATATATCTATATAGATGTGTGTGTGTGTGTGTGTGTGTGTGTCACACTAGCAGCCCAGTTATATCAACACAACCCCACTATAAGCAGTACAATTGCAGAAATAGCATCAAGATATCCAAAGTGGCAGATGCTGTGTGGTCATAATGGCTAATTATAGATATGACTCCATCCAGTAGGTGCAGCCTGGTAGTCTATGATACTACTATCACTTCATTGGTTTTAGCCCAGCAGGATAGGTTGTGTGTGAGTGACCTCAGTACTGCCAGAAGCACATAGGTACTGTGCAATACTGCTTGCTCCAATATGTACAGTACTCTTGTGTCAATGGTGCCACCTAGTGAGTTGTTCAATAACTTGAAAACAGCTTTATATCTAACATGAGTGTGTGTGTGTGCATTCAATTATTACTGGCTTTTTAAAATGACATTGTAGCACCAATTGTAAAAAAAGGATTATTTCTGTCTGCAGGCTTGACCTTTTAGTAGATGAACAAAAGCAGAGCAAGGACAATTCTGGGGAAAATAGAATTGAGGAAAAGCCAGCAAGCACAAAAAAAATCTTCTTTGGAGGCTTTCCCATCAGTAGTGAATTTGCCAACTTCACTGGTTGTATAAGCAATGCCTATTTTGCAAGGTAAGTCATTTTAGCTTGTGTTTTATATATTGACCAACAAATAGAATACATTTTTGCTCTCTTAATGTTATTTCATTAATCATAGAATTGTAGAAGTACAGTCTTAGAAAGATCCTGCTGAACATCATCTCTTTAGTCTATTTCTAGATGGGGAAATTTTAATTTGGCAGTAATTAATTTGGAAGGAAAGGTGCATTTAAAAAATTCCAAAACCCATTGTCAAATAGGGTTGCCAGTTTGGATGTGAGATGAGGCTCCTGTAACCTCTACCTGAATTTTCAAATGAATGTTAACTTTCAACTGCAGCCATCTCCTATCAAGAAAACTATTGCATCCTTTAGTGGAGAGTTGGGGGGGGGGGGTAGCTAAGGATTAAAATTACAGGAGACCCACCCCATATCCAACTGTCAGTATTAATTCCATGCAGCATGGAAGCAGTAAAAATATCCCAGTAAATGAAATGTAGGAAGGAAGTGAAGATACAGATTACTTAGGAATAATACCTACTGGAAACAATGCATCTTTATTTCTGAGTAGATAAATGGATTTTGCTGTTAATAGGATTAGGCTAAATCTGTCCTTTACGTGGTTCATTTTGCACTGAGGATTACAGAGAAAACAAAGTAAATAATAACATTAATTCAACTGCTTGCCCTAACTAGTGTTACCAGTTGAATTAATTGATCCTTGGTAAATCAACAGTTGAACTTAAAAATTAGTGGTCTAATTTTGAAATTGAAAGTTTTAGCGATTAAAATAATAGAATCAGAGTTGGAAGAGACCTTCCATCCAGCTAGAAGAGACCTTCCATCCAGTCCAACCCCCTGCCAAGAAGCAGTAAAATCTCATTCAAAGCACCCCCGACAGATGGCCATCCAGCCTCTGTTTAAAAGCCTCCAAAGAAGGAGTCTCCACCACACTGCGAGGCAAGTGCCCAACTTTAATTCTAACATTGTGAAGTAATTGGCACAGGTACACAAAATGGTAGCACGTTTGTTATAAGGGATGCTTCTGGTTAATTTTAGATAACACGCTGGGTAAAATGTTATTATCAACAACATTGATTAACAGTATTTTGTGGTTTCCACGGTTCAATCTGCATTTCAGTTAGTATTAATATCTGGAATTACATCTTTTGAGGTTATACTTTAACTGTGGTCATATAGCAAGGCTTTATTGGTCTTAAACAAATTGCTAAATTGTCTTTTCAGATTATTTCTGATTTTCAGTATATATAACATGGTTTAAAATATTGAACCTGCAAAATTTAATGAAAACCTGCTTCTTCATGACAAAAATCAATAAAATATACAGGGCATGATTTAGCAGAAGTTGGCTGCACTCCTTAATGATAGTTCAATGGCAAAAACTATATTTCTCAGTGAATCTGTTCCACGAACATGCAGAGCTCATAAACAGGACAATTTTAATTGTTACAATGGCAGATTACTTGGAGAAATAAGCTTTCTATATACAAAATCAAAATTGGTGGCTAAAGTGACAAGATTACCGCTTCTTCCCATTTCTCTTAAATAGATTGGATCGAGATGTTGAGGTGGAAGACTTCCAGCGGTATCCTGAGAAAGTCCAAGCATCCCTTTATGGATGCCCTGTTGAAACTCCTCCAGCTGCCCTTTTCCATAAGAAAAGAAAAAATTCCGCCAGATCCAAAGGAAGCCACAGTAAAAGGGTTAGTATCGCCACCTGGCTAGCCACTCAAACAGCAACTATACCTCACATTTCTGTTGTTGTTCTTTGGGAATGTCATGTTTTTATTGATTGCACATAAGCTTCTTCATGAATAGAAAACAGTAGATTTTTTAAAAAAAATAACAAGCATATGTTGTTTGGATTCAAAGTGATATTAACTGAAAACAAAGGAAGTTATTATTTCCAGAACCTCCCTCATTCAAACAAAATAAAAATAATCTACAAAACACTTCTCTCTTCCAGGCTAATTAAAAGTTGTCCTCATTATCAATAATGTTTTTTAATTCAGTAATTTAACAATTTCAATATTCTGTTTCACATAAAGTAAACTGAGCTAACTGCTATATAGCATAGATTAGGATGATCAATTTAACTATGAGCAAGCATTTCGATTTTTTTCATTTATTTATTCTAAGTCTTTTTTAGGTAGCCTATACTTAATAGCATTCAGGAAAATGTGAAATAAAATTCAAAAACTCAAATTAGTTAAAATGGGAATAGATTAAAAGCAACCAATGCTAAAGCAGGCTTGTTAAGATGCAAAAATGTGACAAACTAAAAGTTCAGGGTAGCACTATAATATGCACTGTTACTTTCTATCTATCTATCTATCTATCTATCTATCTATCTATCTATCTATCTATATTAGACACCAGAATGACCTCTTAGGGGAGAGTTTTCCATAACTGCTGTGAGGGCATGACATTTATTATTTAAAACATTTATGTATTGCTTCTCAGTTCCCTAGGGGTCACAAGCACTGTATAATAAATAACAATTTCACTTGAAATACTAAATATAGAAATTTAAATGAGATTACATCTTGTAAATATACATTAAATTAAATATTAAATATTAACTATTATTGTCTCGGTGCACATTTCCCCAAAGGTGCTTGTTAAGTGGTTCAAGTTCAAGGGGCTGGGCTTAGTATAGCAGGTTAAACCGCTGTGCTGCAGAAAAATCCTGCCGATTGCAAGGTCAGCAGTTCGAGCCCAGTTGGGGTGAGCACCCGCCGTTAGCCCCAGCTCACCTATCCACCTAGCAGATCGAAAGCAGTGATACGAGTAGATAAAATAGGTACCACCATTTAGCAGAGAAGTAATAAAAAGGCACCTTTTAAAAAAGGACATAGATTGGAGGAAAGCTCCTCGGCATGGAAGATGGAGAGACAGCATCCCCGAGGCTGGAGTCAAGCACAGCCTCCAAGATACCAGAAATAAGATGGGAAAACTGTCTTCACCTCTGCTTGTGTTTGTCTGTCCTTGTTAATTGTATAATCAGCACTGAATGTTTGCCGTATGTGTGTTCTGTAAGCCACTCTGAGTCCCCTTCATGGTGAGAAGGGTGGGGTATAAATACTATAAATAAATAATAAAGAAATAAGTGGAGAAATCTAAATTTTACAGATCAAAAAACTGTAATAATGGGAAATAATTAGAGAATTTTATAGTGATCTAAAAATACTTGTGTGTTTCTTTGTACAAAGGTTGGTAAAGAAGACTCTTCACTGTTTCCATCAAGCATTAAAAAAACAGATCAAGAACTGAGAGTTCATCAGGCCCCACACTGCCACCTACCTAATAACCCCAAAGCAATTGAACATATGTATCTGTTTGGAGGAACAGCAAATAGCCGGCAAGAATATGATTACTTACCAAAGGATTTCAATGAAAGGTAGAGTGAATTAATAATAAGAGACTAATATGCTTATAATATTTCTAATGCTATTTCCATTTTTCCAGCCTAAAGGAATATAGAGTAAGCTATCAAACTTCTAACATAACTCAGGCATTTTTCTTCTTCACGTTTTAGAGGGCAGTTGTTCAGTAATTTCTTTTTACATATTTTTTTGACAGGTCTCACTTCTCCATTACCCTGAAAACTCATTCATCCCATGGCATGATTTTCTATGTTTCTGATCAAACTGAGGAACATTTCATGGCTTTTTTTATCGCACATGGCCGTCTAATTTTTATGTTTAACAGTGGAAACCAAAAATTAAGAATTAGAACTCAAGAGAAGTACAATGATGACCAATGGCACAATGTAAGTTGGCTGAGAGGTGGAAACAGCTGTTGCAACAAATGTAGCATCTGATTTTGTAGTAGACCAATCTGTAATAAAATTTCCCAGCTATAATGATACATAATATGCCTGTCTAATATACACATGTAAACCCAGTTTAGGGGAAAGAATGTTGCCTAATCACATGTGATTACGCCAGATGTAGACGATGTTTTCAACTAAACAATTACCTGAGTCAGCTACAATTGTCTGAAAAAATGGATTCTGTGGCTAAGAATAATCTCATCCCAATTGGATTTTCACTTTATGTGAATGTTATCAGTAAGAAGAGGAAAAATCTGAATCTTACTGAATCGAACCAATTTGAAGATTTTACTCTTCAAACAGGCCTTTGACCTTGTTTAGGAATCCTTACTGACTACATTTGAGGACTAGTGTAATTTCACCTTGCACTTTATGGATTGATTGCAATTTGTTTATATCCGCAGCTACTATTGCATTTTATTGACTAATGGGATTTCATTATTTTATGTGGTTGCATTGTAATTGTTATATTGGTCATGCATTTATTGTATTTTATGTGTTTGCACCTTGAGTGCTTTTGTGAGCAGCCCCGAGTCCCTTCGGGGAGATGGTGGCAGGGTATAAATAAAGTTGTTGTTATTATTATTATTATTATTATTATTATTATTATTATTATTATTATTTAGTCTTCCCAGGTACACTTACCCAGAACTCTTTTTTCCCATTCCTATTCTATTGTTTTACTAAATGTAAATTTTTAAATGTTGATTCTCTATCTTTTGCATTTTATTGGGCAAATGACAAATTACCAGAAGTATAGAATAAATAAAAAATCAGCATGTTGGACAATTGCCTTTTTTTTGCTAGTCTCTTTAAACTAATGTATTGACTTTTTTTTTAAGGTAATGTTTGTTCGGGAAAAAAATACTGGTCGCTTGGTAATTGACGGTCTCCGAGTGCTAGAAGACAGTCTTTCTTCATTTGATAACACATGGCATGTCTCTAGTCCTTTTTACATAGGAGGTGTGGCTCCTGGAAAAGCTGCCAAGAATATTCAGGTAAAAATAATTTTCCATAATAATGAATGAACAAATATGTTCCCTGGATGGCCTGGGGGAGCAATCCACTACAGCTGGGTCAGGCCAGCATTTGAGCCCATAAAAATGTTTTAAAGACTATTGACTTTTGAAGTAGTATTTCTAGTGGCTGTCACTTTTACTAGAAGAGTGTTCAAGTTGGCTGCTTTATCAACACATCCAAGTTTGTGCATGTGGGATCAAACCACATTAACACTGACTCTTGAACCATCTAAATGTAGACTGAACAAAGGGTTATACAAGTATCAAGTCTATAAATTTCCAAGCTTTTCTCCCAAACCAGCGCATGCATAGGAAAGAAATTGGCACACATTGGATGTAAGAAGAGCAGTAAAGACCTATATAAAAGAGAACTAAAACAGTCAGGTGAATAGAGGTTCTATTTATTTCATTTAATCCAAAAACAATAGAAAATAAGGCCTCTCGGGTACAAATTGTAAGAAGGTTGAAGGCTTGCGTGTTCTTATGCTATAATTTGGCAAAAGTTCCTCAACCACAGAATGTGTGGCCTCATTCCACACGGTCTATGGCAACCAGCACTGCATATGTAGTATCAGCATTACTAGAGGTTGTTTGCAATACAACTGATTGTAAAGTGCCTTCAACTTTTAGAAGACTTCAACTTTTTACAAGATAGACCTAAATAAATCAGCTCGGATTGGGCAGACAATTCTGTAATTTAGAAGCCAGTAGCACCCACCCCATAGAGGGAGGTTTCGATTGCTTCTCCAGGACATCCAGAGAATGAGGGGTTGATTCTTGTATAGCCTAGAGAAGCAGTTCACCCCTCTCCATTTTTGACTGCATAGACAAATACATAGAAATTGAGCAAAGACACAAGATCACCTACTGGGTTTCCACGCCCAAGCGGGGATTTGAACTTTTTCCCTCAGAGTCCAATGCTACACCAGACTAACTCCAATCAGAAATTACTGCCAAATTCAAATACAGAATATTCTTTTTAGCCTTCCTTTCTTTTACTCAAGTGAAATGTCTATTAAATTTATGAATTATGATATGCCTAAATCAAATTGAAGAAGCAAATAATGTTTTCCCTTCCTTATACAGCTATTTTACTTGTCTCCATTGTTTTCTCAGATCAACTCAGTCTACAGTTTCAGTGGTTGTCTTGGCAGCTTACAGCTCAATGGAAGGCCAGCCATGTCTCCTTCACAAACATTTAGTGTGACACCTTGTTTTGAAGGACCATCAGAGGAAGGAACATATTTTTCAACAGAAGGGGGATATATTATTCTTGGTAACACACCACTAATTACTATTATTATGATTGTTTCATCATGCTGATGGCAGTATAAGCATCATCTAGTGAATCATAGATTATAGAATAATAGAGTTGGAAGGGGCCACATGGATCATCTATTCCAATCCTCTGCCATGCAAGAAAGCACAATCTGTTTTTTTCCAGGTCAGGAGGGAGGGAGCTGATCTAATTTCTCTTAATGTCACCTTTCATTTGTATCACGAACTCCAGGAGCACATGGTCACTCTGACCTAAGGATCCCACCACTTCCACTCCATTGACCAGGCCCTCAGTGTTGGTTAGAATCAGATCCAGAATAGCTAATCCCCTTGTTGCCTCTTCCACCTTCTAGACAATAAAATTGCCTGCAAGGCAAGTGAGGGTTTTGCTGGACCTTGTACTCTTGGAAAAGTTTGTTTTCCAACAAATATCAGAGAAGTTGAAATCCCCCATTACCACTATATTTCTTATTTCAGCATGTTTGTCATCTGGTCAAGGAAGACTTCATTTTAATTTATTTTTATCTACTTTGTTTTATACCTTGCCCTCTCTCTCTCTCTCTTATTGAGGGACTCAGAGCGACTAACACTCGGTAACAATTTGATACTGTTTGAACCTAGGACAATACAAACTCAAAATGCATATAAATCAAACACAGAGAAATTTTAAGAAATTTAATCCAGTTCTTCCGTGTGAAAGTATTGGAGAGATAACTGAAGAGTCATCTTCAAAAAAAATTATGTATTAAACCTATGTCAGGTGCCTCATGGGCTCTTGGTGGAATACTATGTTGCATGAACCTCTTCATCTTCTCCGTATAGCCGCTACTGTGACAGTAACAACCAAATCCTTACACTTATTGCAGTGGTAGCCCTATTGGTATGCTAGTTCTGTTAATTCCAATTATCAGCATAAAGCTGATCATCTGAGACTCCTTGTGGTTGCGATATAGCACCCTTCATTTTTGGCCAGCATAGTCAGAGGTACAGGATGATGAGAGTGCAGTCTAGCATCTGAGTGACAAGTTGCTTATAGAATTAGCACAATGCCATATCCATTTGCTTTTTCAGAGGGACAATGAACATCATTTTGAATGTTACAATGCTTATGCAATGGATTATACAATAAAGCCATCTGGGGAAGTGGGCCTGAATAAAATCACACCCTCCTGACTTACTTGTCTAAAGACGTTATTAGCATGGAATATATATTAGCATGGAACATAGCATATCACAAAATTATCATGTTCAATAGTGATGGAGTCTGGTATACAATGGAAATGAAAGCAAATACAATGGACGCTATACAATGGAAACTAAAACAAAATATACAATCATAATTGTAGAGTATCGTGCCAAAGAATAGTCAAACCTTAGAGTCCAAAAATTAAAAAAGTATTTCCAAGATTTAAAAAATACAGAATTCAAAACCATTATTACAATTTTCACTAATTTCATAATTAATCTTCATGCAAAAAGAACATTCTGTAACTTATCATGATCTTCCCGACAGATGAATCATTCAGCTTGGGCATGAAATTTGAAGTTGTTTTTGAAATCCGTCCTCGAAGCAATACAGGTATCCTAATGCATGCACACAGTGTCAGCAGAGAGTTCCTGAACATACACATGAAAGAAGGACAGGTATGATGAAGGACTAATTGTTCCGTTTATATTTCAATATATATGCCTTTCCCAATTGAATGCTGTACTATTTTTGCCATGCACTTTGTGAACAAATCAAAATTCACTCTTAATATGAACAGGTTCTAATTTGTGACACAACCTCATTTAATCATAAAAGAAAAATTTACCACAGTTGTTGCTTTTCAATAGGTTTATCAAGCAACAATAGAACATCAGTGTCAAAACACTATCAGTATGTAAGAATATTGAAAATTCTGTCCACCATATAAATGCTTTAGAAACATTTAACTGCTGCAGGTTAGATAACTTTTCTTCACATCTTTATGGTGTGGCCCAAAAACATCAGAACTCTGTAAATGTGCACATACATGCGTGCAAGTGTTCATGAACAATGTCAGCAAGGGGGGGGGGGGAAGCAGATTTCACAAACAAATGAATAACAAACAAATTTTATTATGAAAAGGATACATTTCCCAAGACTTTCACAATGTAATATACCAGTCAAAGTGTTATTAAAAAACCAATTTAACTGGGTTTGCATTTGAAAAAAAAATGCTACCACTATTTGACCCAGTGAACTACATGACTTAAGAGTGAGTCCTGGGAGTTCCTGGTCCAAAATTTCACAAACTATAGATGAAAAGGAGAGGCATTATTTCTCTGCCTCTCCTTTTCACCTGCAGTTTGTGAAAAATAATATCGACCTACTTTCAATAAAGGTTGATTATTTTATTAGGCTGTTATATCTTTCTATAAATCCAGTTTTCCACTCATAGGAAAGTTAACAATGGGAAACAAGGACACAGAGCAGAAAAATATACTTGTATAATTTAGCTCTTCCAAATTCTGCAAGCTCAAATTTTATATTCACGTGTACTTGTATATCTCTAAAATTGTTTTTAGAAAACCAGCAAACCTTTCAGTTTCACTTTATTGCACTGATTAAAACTGCTAGAGTTCTGCAAACTGAATCTGTTCCAAACAAATGTAGTTACTTACTTGAAATTAAGATTGGGTGGGGGGGATCTGAATAATTAAACTATTTTTTTATTAAACATCTCAAATGGCATAGGAAGTTTAGTTTTTGTTTTCAAGCAAGAATAATAGTTAAATGTGCATTAAATGGTTTTACCAGGTAATTGTAAAGCTCAACAATGGAATCAAGGACTTTTCAATTTCTGTTATACCAAAGCAGAATCTCTGTGATGGCCAATGGCACAGAATTGCTGGTGAGTAGACAATGGAATTACTATTAATGATGGTTTCCTTATACGGTCTCTTCCTCTAGTCCAAGCAAGTTCAGGTATAGAACGGCATGTAGAATTATAAAGGCATTAAAAAGGCATGGGAGGATCAAGCAGTCTTCTGTCCATCCAAATTAGAATGGAAATGGCTCCAACATTTTGCTCTTATAATGTGTCACTGAAGAGTAAAGAAACTGAAGTATGGGTTGTTGTGTGTTTTCTGGGCTGTATGGCCATATTCAAGAAGCATTCTGGAACATGGCCATACAGTCTGGAAAACACACAACAACCCAGTGATTCCGGCCATGTAAGCCTTTGACAATAAACTGAAGTATCTTTAAACAAATGTTTGTCCTACATAGTAATCTAAGAAATCACATGTTGGAGGTAGCCATTTTTTAAAGTTTGAGGCTTTTGTTGAAAATGGAATCATGCAATTAATAATCCATCATCCAGGGCAATGTCTTAATCACTATGGGAGGGCAGGTCTAGGTCGTGGGGAAGGAAACTTTTAGCTAGGGTTTTCAAGTGTATTTGTGAAATCAGAGAGAACACTCATGGCCCTCATTTTCCCCTTGTTCTTTTTGCATGACAGTGATCAGAGACGCCAATGTGGTGCAGCTGGATGTAGACTCTGAAGTGAATCATGTAGTTGGACCATTAAATCCCAAAGCAACTGACCATAGGGAGCCTGTCTTTGTTGGAGGAGTACCAGGTAAAATTTATCATTATTTTAAAATATTTAAATATTTCCTTTTTAAAAATATAGTAATACACACAAATATATGTATACACAAAGTGACATATCTCTGCAAAAGCTGGAATCCTGTTGGTATCTTACACCTATGTTCCCCTATAAAAGGGGTTAGATATATTTGTCTTGATTCTGCATGGCCATGATGAGTTCAAAAATACGTATTGCCAATAAAAATAACAAAAAATCATTTTTTAAATTATTCATTACTGATACGTTTTCTTTGGCAGTTGTATTGCAAGGGGCTTTTTAACATCTTATAAAAAGCAATGATTAAGATTCAAAGTGGTAATTCCACAGATGAATCCATATAATCTGAATCAAAAGAAGGGCCCCACTACAATTTGTCCCAGAAGACTGAGAAATCCTCCAAAGCTTGATTTGCAGCCAGCATCATACAGAAAGTTCCACTGCACTCGAACTGTACTTCTGGTTTAGTATCAGATTTAGGCCACTATAAGTAAATGGTGGTAAAAAGGTAATTAGTGTATTTAGATCATGCCACATTCAGATTTTATTCTGAAAAACTCAGTCACCTACAAATACTGCAACATTTTTAACAACTCATGCTTGTTTATTTGTTTGTTTATCTCTCTGCAGAATCTCTTCTCACATTCAGTTTAACTACGCGCAACTCCTTTAATGGATGCATCCGTAACTTTATGATTGATGAAAGCCCAGTGAGTTTCAGTAAGGCTGCTTTGGTTAGTGGTGCTGTAAGCATCAATAGATGTCCTGCTGCCTGAAAGGTGACAAACTACACAACTGCAAGGACCTGTGTAGCGCCAAAGGAGAAATTCTAGCCAAAGAAGCTGTGATGTATTTAATTTTAAGTACCAAAGAAAATAAAATATATTGCTCAGTATATGTGCATGATTAAACATTATGCTTATAATCACTCCTAATAATGTGTTTCCTGCAGCAACAACAAAAATAAGAAACAGCCTAATTATTTGCAGTGCACCCTGTCAAAATTAAGATCATCAGCCCAAACCTATGCAGGTGTGAGTGTGCCTGAACCCACTAAAATAACAAGTTTAGGTATTTCTAGTTCAATATAGATTGGCAGCTAATACATAAATCTCCAAGCCTGAGCATACTGATGAAATATGCAATATGCAAAGATGTATCTCATTCCTTATACACTATTGTGCTCTGTATATATTTCCCTTATGGGGAAGAGGAAAAAATGCATCTCGGTTGAATACTATTGGGACCCTTCATGCGGAGGCACTGTGTTTGAAATATAGATAAATTCTGTACATGGTTTGTACTAAATGCACCGGCTACATGTACCTTACAGAATAAATTTTTAAATAGACATGCTTCACAAATGATTGTTTTCAAAGTCTTTTTATCCAGTTTCTGTATACATCTGTCTATATTTATTAACATCAATGTATGTATGTTTGTATGTATGTATGTAACACAAAGGTTCCTACATGGCTTGTTGAATCTGGACCAAACATGACACACATAAAAAGCTAAAGGTAGTCCCCTGACATTAAGTCCAGTCATGTCTGACTCTGAGGTGTGGTGCTCATCTCCATTTCTAAGCCAAAGAGTCCGTAGACACCTCCAAGGTCATGTGGCCGGCATGACTGCATGGAGCGCAAGTTAAAATACTGGGGAAGTTTCAACTAAAAAAAATACCCCCCCCCCATTAAATGTGTGTGTGTGTGTGTGTGTGTGTGTTAGGGAAAATGACCCAAAAATCAGCAGAGTATCCAAAATACAGAAACATTCCGACTGCCGTACAGGAGACATGGGGGAAGGGATTCCCTCAACTTCTTCGAAACTAATTACTCCTCATTGAGAACTGCAGATTTGCTCTAGTTCACATAGCCATTTGCTATCAATGAGTGCCCTGATAGGATTTCTCTTCATCCCCATGAACTGCTTTACTTCATGTTCATAAACCTCAGGAACATGTTCCAGTGACACAACCACCCCACTTCACAGTGATAAACAAGATCATCATACTCAAGAGTCAAGATCATTCAGTAACTCCTTTATATTGCCAGCTGCTAAACCCTCTGTTTTTGACCTGTTGATACATGATACTACTGTTGACATCACATTGTTGAGCCGCAACAACTGCACAGAAACGTTTTTGGTGTATAATGCAGTGGCATATAATTAAATCACTTGGATCAAGCCTGAGACAATTCAGTTCTTTCTTGACAAATACAATGAATCCTTTTTGCGAGCAAAACAGCCAGTTCAGCAACATTTGTTATGTCTGTTGTCTCAACAAAAGTCAGAGAGAAACACTGGAAATTTCCTGAATAACCCTTCAGTGATTTTTCAATATTTTGTGCTACGTCAGTAATCCGATCTGAAACTGTTCTCCAAGATATACTATGCTACTTTGTGTGGTGCTAACTTTGGAGTAGCTACACTGCATAATTAATGTAGTTTGATGCCACTTTGACTGCCATGGCTCCAGACTATAGAATCCTGGGAGTTATCGTTTTATGAAATGACTTCTAGGACCTCTTCACATGGGGCAAAATAGCCCCGCTTTGCCACTTTTAACTGGGGCTTGGATGGGGCCTGCTATATTTGTCTGCCATTTTCTACTGTTTGTGATGACTTGCCAGTTCTGCCTTCTCTTGCTCATTTGACCTAACCACTTGAACAGCACTGGAACTGGCCTGTTGTTGAATGCTAAGCAGGTTTAGCCATTGTCAGGGCTTGAGTAGAATGTCGGTGGCTAATGTTGTTGTTGATTGTATTCCAGCTATATCAGTTATTACAGACTATCAAACTTCATATTCTCATTGTGACAGGATACACCACATACCCCGAGCTTGTGGTCTTCAGTTGATTTCTCAGGTCAAATCTCGTAATATATTTTGCCCATTTATCCTTAGACTTGAATTCACTCATCAATTGTTTTTAAATTTGTCTGTCTTTGGTATCCTAGGTTCTTAGTCAAACATGGACAGAGTACAACTGGGGCACTAGAGATACAGCTTTCTTATTTCTGTACAATTATGCCATCAAAGCTTTATTCTTTACATTCCTTGCCGACAATTATATGAATTGACTGGCTATCCTTGGCCTCAATTATCAGAGGCCTATTCTAATCTAATTAACATGTTAAATGCCAGTGTACTACACAAATATAACACATAGGACCAGAGACTTTGATAATGGTGTTTAACAACTTTTCAAGGACTCTGTAACTGATCAATAATTTATTAAGGGTTTACCGGTTGAGATACAAATGGGATTAAAGTCATTTGGACCCATCCAACTCATGCAATGGCAATGTTGCAGTTATAATAAAATCTTATTCCTTTTCTATTTTTAATCTTATACAGGTGAATCCCAGAGAGAATGTGGGGAGCACCTCACCATCTGCGACATACACCCATTGCAAACTTCCGCCAAGCCCAGAGTGAAAGGGAGGGTGCCTCCGGACTGGGCTGGAGTTATAAGTGCCTAGTTGGCAATATTATCCCATTTACAATGGTGCAGTGATGGCAATCCCAAGATTATAAGCGTATGGGGAATGCTTTGCAATCTGCCATAAGTAATCATTACAAGTCTCTAACAACCTCAGAAGGAATGTCATAGTTGCTCATTTGGCAATATTATCCTATTTATGGTGGTGCAGTGATGGCAATCCCAAGATACAGCATGGGGAATAATAATAATAATAATAATAATAATAATAATAATAATAATACTTTACCTGGCTCTTCGAACAGGCTTTCAACTAAGCAGTGCAATTGATTGATTACTGGAATATGGATTAATGGACAACAAGATCGGATGCTGATTCTATTGATGAAACGTGATGGATTGTTATTTTGCTGTATTGTTGTATTGATGTTTTGATGTTAATTAATTGATATTACTGTTTTAAATGACTAATGATTTTGTATTGTGTTGTTGATACTGGTTGTTGACCGCTCTGAGTCGCCTGAGGGCTGAGAAGAGCGGTATACAAGTGACGTAAATAAATAAATACCGCCCTATTTCTCCTAGGGGACTCAGAACGGTTTCCAAATATTCATAAATACAACAAACATACAAAGCAAAACATAAGTATAAACTATTAACATATATAATTAAAATCAATATAAAGACACTGGGTTGTTGTAGGTTTTTTCGGGCTATATGGCCATGGTCTAGAGCAGGGGTCCACAAACTTTTTAAACAGAGGGCCAGGTCGCAGTCCCTCAAACTGCTGGAGGGCCGGATTATAATTTGAAAAAACATGAATTCCTATGCATACTTCACATATCTTATCTGTAGGGCAAAAAAAACACTTAAAAACAATGTTGTTGTTGTTCATTCGTTCAGTCGTCTCCGACTCTTCGTGACCTCATGGACCAGCCCACGCCAGAGCTCCCTGTCAGCCGTTACCACCCCCAGCTCCCTCAAGGTCAGTCCAGTCACTTCAAGGATGCCATCCATCCATCTTGCCCTTGGTCGGCCCCTCTTCCTTTTGCCTTCCACTTTCCCCAGCATAATTGTCTTCTCTAGGCTTTGCTGTCTCCTCATGATGTGGCCAAAGCACTTCAACTTTGTCTCTAGTATCCTTCCCTCCAGTGAGCAGTCGGGCTTTATTTCCTGGAGGATGGACTGGTTGGATCTTCTCGCAGTCCAAGGCACTCTCAGAACTTTCCTCCAACACCACAGCTCAAAAGCATCGATCTTCCTTCGCTCAGCCTTCCCTAAGGTCCAGCTCTCACATCCGTAGGTGACTACAGGGAATACCATGGCTTTGACTAGGCGGATCTTTGTTGCCAGTCTGATGTCTCTACTCTTCTATTTTATCGAGACTGGACATTGCTCTCCTCCCAAGAAGTAAGCGTCTTCTGATTTCCTGGCCACACTCTGCATCTGCAGTAATCTTTGCACCTAGAAATACAAAGTCTGTCACGGCCTCCACGGTTTCTCCTTCTATTTTCCAGTTGTCAATCATTCTTGTTGCCATAATCTTGGGTTTTTTTACGTTTAGCTCCAACCCGGCTTTTGCGCTTTCTTCTTTCACCTTGATTAGAAGGCTCCTCAGCTCCTCCTCGCTTTCGGCCATCAGAGTGGTGTCATCTGCATATCTGAGGTTGTTAATGTTTCTTCCAGCAATTTTCACCCCAGCTTTGCATTCATCAAGCCCCGCACATCGCATGATGTGTTCTGCATACATGTTAAAAAGGTTGGGTGAGAGTATGCAGCCTTGCCGTACGCCTTTCCCAATCTTGAACCAGTCTGTTGTTCCATGGTCAGTTCTTACTGTTGCTACTTGGTCCTTGTACAGATTCCTCAGGAGAGAGACAAGGTGGCTTGGGATGCCCATCCCACTAAGAACTTGCCACAATTTATTATGATCCACACAGTCAAAGGCTTTAGAATAGTCAATGAAGCAGAAGTAGATGTTTTTCTGAAACTCCCTGCCTTTCTCCATTATCCAGCGGATATTGGCAATTTGGTCTCTCGTTCCTCTACCTTTTCCAAACCCAGCTTGAACATCTGGCAACTCTCGCTCCATGTATTGCTGGAGTCTTCCTTGCAGGATCTTGAGCATTACCTTACTGGCATGAGAAATAAGGGCCACTGTACGGAAGTTTGAGCAGTCTTTCGCATTTCCCTTTTTTGGTATGGGGATATAAGTTGATTTTTTCCAGTCTGATGGCCATTATTGTGTTTTCCATATTTGCTGGCATATGGCATGCATCACCTTGACAGCATCATCTTTTAAGATTTTAAACAGTTCAGCTGGGATCCCGTCATCTCCTGCTGCCTTGTTGTTAGCAATGCTTCTTAAGGCCCATTCAACCTCACTCCTCAGGATGTCTGGTTCTAATTCATTCACCACACCGTCAAAACTATCCTCAATATTATTATCCTTCCTATACAGATCTTCTGTATAGTCTCGCCACCTTCTCTTGAACTCTTCAGCTTCTGTTAGGTCCCTGCCATCTTTGTTTCTTATCATACCAATTTTTGCCTGAAATTTACCTCCAATGTTTCTAATTTTCTGGAAGAGGTCTCTTGTCCTTCCTATTCTGTTGTCTTCTTCCACTTCCATGCATGGCTTATTTAAAAATAGTTCCTTATCTCTTCTGGCTAACCTCTGGAATTGCGCATTTAACTGGGCATATCTCCCCTTATCACTGTTTCCTTTTGCTTTCCTCCTTTCTTGGGCTACTTCCAGTGTCTCACCAGACAACCATTTTGCCTTCTTGGTTTTCTTTTTCTTTGGGACGTACTTTGTTGCCGCCTCCTGAACAATGTCTCGGACTTCTGTCCATAGTTCTTCTCGGACTCTGTTTACTAAATCTAGTCCTTCAAATCTGTTCTTCACTTCCACTGTATA